TGCAATCGTGTCTAAAATCCTATGTGATGTTTGATAAAAGGAGGAGACCTGCTCCTCCAGGCTAAAATGTTGGTTAAAAGTAGTCAAGGAGGCTGCAGTAAAAAGTTGGGAAAATTTAAGAGCAGAGGTGGAGTTAAAAACACGAGAGTGATAAAATGACCCATTGGAGGCAGACTGAGGGGCCTAAAATAACGTCGAATAAAATAGCTAAGTGGTCCGACACACAGATATCCTTGGTGATGACATTTCCTGCGCTGAGACCAAACGTTAAAACCAGGTCCAGTGTATGGCCCTTAGAATGGGTCGGAGCATTTATAATTTGAAGAAGATTAAAAGACTCAATTAGATCAATAAAATCAGAGGTTAAAGGGTGTGGTTTATGTGGGCAGCAGACATGAATGTTAAAATCACCTAAGATTAAAACTTTGTTGTGGAGGGCCATACACTGGGATAAAAGATCAGAGAATTCTTGAATAAAAACAGTGCTGGGTTTAGGGGGTCTATAAATAATTAAAACAAACACTGGGGTTTTACATGAAATGATAAGAGACAGGTGTTCAAATGAAGTAAAAACATTTTGTGATCCAGGAGTGCATTTAAAAGTGTTCTTAAAGATGGCTGCAACCCCCCCTCCCTTACCGCAGAGTCTTGGTTGGTGGAGGAAGGTGTAGTCCGGGGGGGTCGCTTCAATGAGGGGGGTGCAGTCGCCTTGCACTTGCCATGTTTCTGTTAAAATCATGAAGTCCAGGTTGTTGTATGTGATGAAGTCCTGACAGATGAAGGATTTATTGTTGATGGATCTGATGTTTAGAAGTCCAAAGATTGTAGGTGCAGGGTCCGGAGTGAGGGCTGTAGAGGAGCAAAGGGGAACCGGGATGAGACAGGGGAGGGAGAGTTCTCTGGAGGAGGTCCTGTGGGGTCGGGGTCTGGAGATGACAGGGATTGACTGAGGGGGAGAGCTGGGGCTGGGTCGGTGAGGAGGTGATACGGGGGGTGAGGAGGCAGATAGTCAGTTGTAGGTGGAGTGAGACTGTACTGAATGGATGATATTGGATGTGAGAAAGCGGTTTCCAAGAGGGTTGATATGAAGGCCATCAGGTCTGAAGAAGGAGGAGCGGTGCCAGAATAAATTAAAATTGTCAATAAAACCAAAGTTGTGGAGGGTTGATGCTTGTTTGAGCCAAGTGTGAAGAGCTAGAATTCTGCTAAAACGTTCATCTCCTCGGTTGAGAGTGGGTAGAGGGCCGGAGATAAAAACAGATAATCCAGATTCTGATAAAAAGTTAAAAAGGTCTCTAAAATGCAGTTTTGTGATTTCCGAGTGGCGGGATGAACTGTCATTTGAACCGATATGGATAATAAGACGGGTTATTGTAGTGGGGGCGTTTATAAGAAGGGCAGGTAATTTGTTCAGCAGTGAAGTGACAGTGGCTCCAGGGAAACAGTGAGTGGAAACATTAAAAAACCTGCAGCGTTTAATGATGGAGTCACCCACCAGAAGAGTTGTGGGTGCGAACAATGGTCGGGGGGAGGATGGAGTTATCGTAGTGGGGGGAGATGGGCGCTGAGGGACCTGAGCGGGCAGGGCGAGACCAGGAGCATTTGCGGTGGTGCCGTGAGATAAGAGCGGAGGGTTGGGAGAGAGTGAAGGAGACCGAGATAAGAGCGGAGGGTTGGGAGAGAGTGAAGGAGACCGAGGCGGTTCTGGACGGACTGAGACTGGGGCGCGGGGTGGCGTGGGAGAGCCTCGCACTGAGTCCGGACAAGGAGGTCCTCCAGCAGCAACAGAGGGCACAGCGCTGTCCACGGGGGAACCCCACGCTGGGTCAGAGCGAGGAGGTCCACCCGGGGTAGCGGTAGCATTCTCGCAGGGGTCCCGCGCTGCGTCAGAGCGCAGTGACCCTTCCGGAGCCAGGGCAGCATTCATAGGGGATCCCCGCGCTGCGCTGGAGCGCGGGGATTCCCCAATGGCTACCCCGGCGTTTGCTCCGTCATGCGCCGCGCACCGTACTGAGTCTGCGGGGCCACTCACTTGAGCAGGGCGCTGCGAGTCTCCCAGGACCGAGGCAGCTTTCGCGGGAGGACTCCGCGCTGTCTCTGAACGCGGAGATCCCCCCACTGCAGCCTCAGCCAAACCCCGCGCAGTGTCCGGGCGCAGGGGGCTCCGCGCTGGGTCAGAGCACGGAGGGCCCACGGAGCGCCTGCGGACAGCCTCCTCCACCAGTCTGCGGCGGGTGGACAGGGACACTCTGTGGTCTCGCGGCCTCTGCTCCTGGTTGAACTTGCTCTGAGGATGGCCATGCTCCGGGGCAGGACAGCTGGAGACCGGTGGCTCTAGGGCTGTATGAGGCGGCGAAGGATCCGGAACCGGGCAGAGCGCTGGATGCTCCGGGAAGAGCGCGGTGGCCAGACTCGGCCCAGGAGCGAGCGGGTCCTTTGATGACAGGGTCCCAGGGAATAGTGTCGTGGTGAGCGGAAAGTGAGAGGTGTTGTGCTTGTTTAAATGCAATGTCCATGAATAGTTCCAGGAGTGTTTCTTTGTGTTTTAGTTCGATAGAGAGGTTATTGACAGTCAATTGTAGTTCTTCGGGAGACATAGTGCGTACTGGTTTCTTGATTATCGAGCTGGATGAAGTAAGTTGTGACTTGTAGATTTCTTTGTAGATATTAACGGGAGAAGGTGCTGTGTCCATGGTTACGTATACGGAAGTTAGTCTCTAGGGACAATGGCAGTCACTTTGTAGCAAAAGTCATTGAGGAAGTGGGTGAATTTCTGGGCATTGATATACGTACACACTGCAGTTACGCCCCCTGGTCCGGAGGCACGTGCGAGCGAGAGAATGGCACTCAAAGCTCTGCCGCTAGCCCCACGTTGGGCGCGGGACCCCCGAACAGAGATCTGCCAAGCACCTCTTTGTGTGATGACGACATGCTGTCCTATTGTAGGAAATTAATGCACTTTTGTCCTCTATTTCTGCCCAGGTCAGGAGCGCCCTGCCACAGGCTGCGCAGGCGACTGGGCCCTGGTGAAGGAAACGAGACGAAAGCACTGGCGGTCCAAGCGCTGGCTCGGCCCATTCCTCGCCCTCCTGGTGACGGACACTGCCGTTAAGGTCGCGGAGAGGACAACTTGGATCCACGCCAACCACTGTCGTGCGGGGCTGCCACTGAGGGCCATAGACGAGGACACCGAGGGCGCGGACGGACCAGGCCCATCCGCGGCTCCCTACGCTGAAGAAGTTGGCCGGCGTGCGGCCACCGTCGGTGAAGCAGGCCAACAACAACACCCAGAGAATCCCAGCGTTCCCGAGGCGACCCCCCTTCTGCCCAACTCCCCAGCCCCCGGATCCCAAGGCTTGGGAGCCATGAAGGCCCTGAGCGCTCTGCTCAGCTGCAGCAAGTATGCAGAGCTGCTGCCCATTCCAAAGATTTCTCCAGAGCTTGCTCCCTCTGGCCATAATGCAGATTTGAGCTCTGCTGAAGTGCCCCCTGGTGTCTCGTCTCCCGTGTGTCCGGAGGAGGTGGAGATGAGGGCTGCTCTACAGTTCCTGATGAGGCACATGGTGAAGCGTGCTGTCATGAGGTCTCCCATCAAACGAGCTTTGGGCCTGGCCGATCTGGAGCGTGCTCAAGCCATGGTCTCCACACCCCAAACCCCGAGCACTCTGCCCAACCGAGTGCTGAGGCCAAGGCTTCAACGCAATTAGAGTCTTGCCGCTCCAAGACCAAACATCGCCATGACCACTAACGCTCCACACACGCTCATAGGGAGCGGTGCCACTGACTGCGAGACGGCACTGCTCGTGAGTATTCCCGCGGAAAAGACTACCGAACGTAGCCCGGCTAAGACCGGCATGGGCCCTTGGACTGTTATGCTGGCCACACTGACACTACTTTCCGTGCTGACCGTGTTCATTATGTTAATATTGCCTTCTCTTATCGCTGTCCGGATCCATTGTGTTATCATAATGTGCTCTTTCTTTTATAGACAAGCATGTTTCTTTTCTTGTCCACTTTGGACAGCAATAATTTAAGTGTTTCAAGCTTGAAGGTGGTGTGATTACGATGCCTCTGGTATTTAACTGATTAATGCAAAAATGGTTTTGAATTATCAAAAGAGGGGAGTGTGGTGACAGTTTTTGGAGTAATTACATAAAACCAGCCGCAGCAAATACACGGACGTCAAAGGCCTTTTATCAATGCAGAGACGCCCTTCTGACGCCATGCTGAGCTTTGTGAGGGCCCCCTGCTGTCTGTCACACCCTTGTGTCTTCCGTGTCTTGCATCTGTATGACCTGCATTTAGACCATTGTCTGTCTGTTCGCACCTCGTTCCCAGACGGCGCCAAACGCTCCCCATGCGCCTCCTCACCGGTGGCCCCCTCCAATCTGTTGTGGGCGGGACTGTCTCTCGTGTGTGTCTTGTATACAGGAAACTTGGGGCTCTGGCGCCAGAGCTGGGACATGCTGCCTTTGAGTGGATGTGCTGGCTCTCCGCACGTGCGTTAACAATAAACTTACGCTTTTGATCAGACAAAGGACCTTTGAGTTTTCTCCTTCATGGGGTATATAATTCTATAACAGAACACATTGGACGTCATATGAAATTAATTTGGGTTAATACAACCAAAATATTAATTACATAAAACATTACATTTTTTCACAACACAACACCAGACCAGATACATATATATAGAATTTTGTCCTCGAAGTACAGTACAGTATAAAGAACCTGAAACCTATGAATAAACAAAACACATGACAGAGATTATCTTCAGTATGTCAGATGACATTTCTTTTTATCAAAGTGATTTAATAATTCAAATTTCTGAAAACAAAAAGGGTTGTTGTTATTTCACGGATTAAAAATCTGTGGTACAAATTCCACTGCTCTGGGTTTTCAGAATGTAATTTTGTGTTCATTGATTTGTTTCAGTCAAAGTAGATTTAAGTGTTCAGACAGAAGGTTTGTTAAAAAGTGGGTGTAGAAGAGTCACTCACTCTAATTAGCGTAAAGATGTCGTCCATGTAAGGTCGGATGTGGATTTTGACAAAGCACACCACCATGCCCATCTGCTGGAACAGGAACTATACAGGACAAAACCAACACATTAAACAATTGCTTTAACAAAAATAAGTATTGCATAATTATAAAGCAAAAAATCTGGGATTTAAATGTAACTACACACTACAAATGCATTATAAACAAAGTGGACCGACCTCTCTGATGCTGGCATCACACACTCTGATGACGTTGAGGAAAGTGGGCATGACCTGTGGCAGGAACTGGACACACTTGAGCCCCAGAGACTTGAATATGAAGGTGACGGCCTGGACCACCATTGTGTGGTGGTTGGACAAGGAGGGGTCCCTCAGGATCCGCATCAGAGTTACAATAGCCACCGCAGGGTAGAACTCATCCAGGGGAAGGTTTCCCATGTTCACCAGCATCTCACTCGTACTGTAATCCGCTGAGGGAAGGAACATGGCAAACTTGTAAGAAACTGTCCACTGGTTCGCCAATATAAGTAACATTTGATAATGAGTTTTATGTACTCAATTCTGACCTTTAAAACTAGTGTACTTGCAATCGTTGATCAATTTGAATGCAGGCATTGATTATTAGAATTGTAGGCATTTGAGGTTGGGATACGATAATACAAACACTGTTGTGAACCGCAGCAAGACATTTCCTGCACGCTCATTTGAATACTGTGATCACTTCGTCTTAGCATACAGTCTGCTGTTAGCACATATGTTTGGCCCTATAAAAATAATCACAGACTTGTTACTCCTGGCTACCCTCTGCTCCAAACAGTAAAAGTCTCTTTATACTAAGATGAAGCTTGATTGCTGTAATTGCTAGCTGTGTCTTGAATCTTTGTTAAGATGCCAGTACCAACAGAGGAAAAGAATTGTGTTTGCCAGAAAGAACTAAACAGTTATGCTCATTCATTGGGGAAGGACTTAAATTTTGTTCAAAAGTCTGTAGTGCAGGAGTCAGGACAGGAACAAAAAACCATCATTAGATGAGATCATGTTGAGATGCAATTCCGTTTTCCAAAACATAGTAATCGTGACATGCAACCCAAATAATCCTCATGTGTGGGCAGCAGGCATTAGAAGTCAGGAGATTGCTGGAAGAAGTGATAAGTGATATACAGTGCCTAGCGAAAGTATTCGGCCCCCTTGAACCTTTCAACATTTCGCCACATTTCAGGCTTCAAACATAAAGATATAAAAATTTAATTTTTTGTCATGAATCAACAACAAGTGGGACACAATCGTTAAGTGAAACGAAATTTATTGGATAATTTAAACTTTTTTAACAAATAAAAAACTGAAAAGTGGGGCGTGCAATATTATTCGGCCCCTTTACTTTCAGTGCAGCAAACTCAATCCAGAAGTTCAGTGAGGATCTTTGAATGATCCAATGTTGTCCTAAATGACTGATGATGATAAATAGAATGCACCTGTGTGTAATCAATCCCCGTATAAATGCACCTGCTCTTTGATAGTCTCAGGGTTCTGTTTAAAGCGCAGAGAGAACCATGAAGACAAAGGAACACACCAGGCAGGTCCGAGATACTGTTGTGGAGAAGTTTAAAGCCGGATTTGGATTCAAAAAGATTTCCCAAGCTTTAAACATCTCAAGGAGCACTGTGCAAGCAATTATATTGAAATGGAAGGAGTATCAGACCACTGCAAATCTACCAAGACCCGGCCGTCCCTCCAAACTTTCATCTCAAACAAGGAGAAGACTGATCAGAGATGCAATCAAGAGGCCCATGATCACTCTGGATGAACTGCAGATAACTACAGCTGAGGTGAGAGAGTCTGTCCATAGGACAACAATCAGTCGTGCACTGCACAAATCTGGCCTTTATGGAAGAGTGGCAAGAAGAAAGCCATTTCTCAAAGATATCCATAAAAAGTCTTGTTTAAAGTTTGCCACAAGCCACCTGGGAGACACATCAAACATGTGGAAGAAGGTGCTCTGGTCAGATGAAACCAAAATCAAACTTTTTGGCCACAATGCAAAACGATATGTTTGGTGTAAAAGCAACACAGCTCATCACCCTGAACACACCATCCCCACTGTCAAACATGGTGGTGGCAGCATCATGGTTTGGACCTGCTTTTCTTCAGCAGGGACAGGGAAGATGGTTAAAATTGATGGGAAGATGGATGGAGCCAAATACAGGACCATTCTGGAAGAAAACCTGTTGGAGTCTGCAAAAGACCTGAGACTGGGACGGAGATTTATCTTCCAACAGGACAATGATCCAAAACATAAAGCCAAATCTACAATGGAATGGTTCACAAATAGACGTATCCAGGTGTTAGAATGGCCAAGTCAAAGTCCAGACCTGAATCCAATCGAGAATCTGTGGAAAGAGCTGAAGACTGCTGTTCACAAACGCTCTCCATCCAACCTCACTGAGCTCGAGCTGTTTTGCAAGGAAGAATGGGAAAAAATTCCAGATGTGCAAAACTGATAGAGACAACATCTTTCGGATCATTTCTGTGTTTTTTTTTGACATGTGTTTCACTAACAAACCACCAGTGGACTCTGCAACTGTTCGAAGAAGGCGCATAAATGAAAATACGAGTGAACTATTTATGGGAATGATAAACTTTGAGAATGCATTGTATTCTACTGTAGATGATTGTTTAACTCTGTCACCTCTAGTGTTTTGAATGTTCTGGATACCGTTGCCCCTGTGAAGGTTAAAATAGTGAAAAATAAGCAGAAGGCGCCGTGGGCTAAAGCAGACTCGGTCAGGGCACAAAAGAGAAAGTGCCGGAGGGCCGAGCGGAAGTGGCGCAAGTCCAACCTCCAGGTTGATTACGAGATCTTCAAAGATAAGTTGTGCGAGTTTAACCGGGTGCTACGTAGTACGAGAGAAAGGTATTTTTCTGAAATGATTGAAGGCTGCAGCAACAATCTGCGTGTTCTGTTCTCAACAGTTAATAGATTAACAAACCCCCCTGTTCAAATGCCATTAGAGCTTACTTCCAAACGTAAATGCAATGAGTTTGCTAATTAAGGTTCGAGGCATCAAAAACGCCATTGTCTCCAATCCACAGATAACCATCCAACAGCCAGAAAGGCTCTCTGAGCTAACTCACTTTGCACCTGTAAATGATCAAACTGTCCAAGAGATAATCTCCAGTTTGAGCTCCTCCACATGCAGCCTGGATGTACTACCCACTAGATTTCTGAAGTCTGTTCTGAGCAGTCTGTTACCTTCACTCACACAGATAGTAAACATGTCCCTTCATTCTGGAATATTCCCAAAGGCCCTGAAAACTGCAGTCATCAGGCCCCTGCTAAAAAAGAGCAGTCTGGATGCTACGGTACTTAACAACTATCGTCCCATCTCAAATCTGCCATTTATGGGGAAAGTCCTTGAGAAAGTGGTCTACCTACAGCTTACTAGATTTCTTATAATCAACAACTCATTTGATATGTTTCAGTCCGGCTTTAGACCCTACCACAGCACTGAGACTGCTCTCGTTAAGGTTACAAACGATATCCGGCTGAACACTGACGCAGGCAAAGTCTCAATCCTAATCCTGTTAGATCTGAGTGCTGCCTTTGACACTGTCGACCATGAGATCCTCTTACAGAGATTAGAGGACTGGGTTGGCGTCGCTGGCACCGCCCTAAGTTGGTTTGGGTCTTACCTTGAGGACAGGAAGTACTTTGTGGAGATTGGAAACTGTCTCAGATCATATGGCCCTGACCTGTGGAGTACCACAGGGGTCGATCCTGGGACCTCTTCTGTTCAATCTCTACATGCTGCCGTTAGGTCAGTTAATACGCAGAAACGACGTTTCCTATCATAACTATGCAGACGACACTCAGATCTATGTCTCACTGACTGCAGGAGAACATGGACCAGTGGACTCACTCCTTCACTGTATCCAACAGATCAGTGAGTGGATGCAAAACAACTTCCTTCAGCTAAACGCAGACAAAACTGAAATGATTGTCTTTGGTCCCCAGAAACAAAGAGAGTACATTCAAAATGCAGCAGCTCGAGTCCTGACAAGAACCAGGAAGTACGACCACATTAGTCCAGTTCTCAGGTCTCTGCACTGGCTTCCTGTGGCTCAGAGAATAGACTTTAAAACGGCTCTGCTTGTGTACAAGTCTCTCCATGGCCTCGCACCAAAATATATTAGTGACATGTTAGTCCCATATGAACCAGCCCGGACTCTGAGGAGCACAGGGACTGGACTCCTGTTAGTGCCCAGAGTCAGAACTAAACATGGGGAGGCTGCTTTTCAGAATCATGCTGCTAAAATAAGATGTGAGACAGGCCTCCTCAATGACAATGTTTAAAACCAGGTTAAAGACAGTTCTGTTTAGCTGTGCATACAACTGAGGGATTTTATATTTTTAGCTTTCTTTTTATGTTCTGTGATTATTTATGATTTTAATGCTTTCAAAATGCTGGAAAGGTGGACTGAACCATCCAACTTTGCAATTAAAACATTTGTACAATGGTTGTGATATATTTAAATTGCTGTCAGTAAAAAAATGCTTTCTCCTAAACAAGTAACACTCTTTTGGTTAGAAATATTGACACATTCCTGATATACAGGTTTTTAGGGAAAAATCCCAAACATTACAGTTTAGTCCGTTAGGACTGAAATTGTATAAACAAACTTGATTAAAATTTGATTCTAATATCAATCTAAGTTTCAGTGTGTTTACTAGTTATTATAATTATATTATAAAACTGTCCAGGGTGGAAAGAAACTATTTTTTCCTGAAACCTGGTGCATGACATAATTTCTTTTTATAACACTATTGTTTCTGATCAGATAAATAGCATTCATTGTTGAAGAGAGGCTCCTTATCAGGTTGGTCTTATATTGTTTTATGTAATGAATGGATGTCAAGAGTTCCTGCTTACAGACAGAGACTAAAGCTCTCGAAACCTGCAGTGAGGAGCTCCAAAGTGTGGTCTGATGAAGCTGTGGAAGAGCTGCGCGCATGCATGGAATCTACAGACTGGGACCTTTTCAGAGCTGCCACAGATAGTTTGGATGAATACACGGACACTGTGACGTCATACATTCACTTCTGCGAGGATAGCATCATTCCAACAAGGACCAGGGTCATCTATAACAATGACAAACCTTGGTTCACTGCTAAACTCCGGCAGCTCAGGAAAGCAAAGGAGTCTGCTTTCAGGGAGGGGGACCGCAGCGGCTACAAAGCAGCTAAATATCAATTCAGGAAAGAACTGAAAGCAGCCAAGTCACAGAGAACGACTACAGGAGCAGTTTGGTAACAACGATACTGCTTCTGTCTGGAGGGGCCTACGGGAGATCACCAACTACAAGCCCAAAGCCCCCCCTGTGCTGACGACCACAAGCTAGCTGACGAACTGAACTTATTTTTCAGTCGCTTTGATGCTGCCCCTGACACCTCTCCCTCCCCCACCCCCCACTACTCTAACGACCCACCAATCAGCCCTGCCCCCAGCCTAACAATAGCCTCTGAAGAGATTAAACAACTCTTCTTGAGGCTGCACCCCCGCAAAGCTCCTGGCCCGGACCACGTGTCTCCGGCCACTCTGAGACACTGCGCCAGTGAGCTTACTCCTGTGTTCACGGACATTTTCAACACCTCACTGCAGTCCTGCCATGTCCCGGCCTGCTTCAAATCCTCCATCATTGTCCCCGTCCCGAAGAAGCCCAGGATCACAGGACTCAATGACTACAGACCTGTAGCACTTACGTCTGTCGTCATGAAGTCATTTGAACGCCTGGTTCTCTCCCATCTCAAGTCCTTCACCTCCCCCCTCCTGGACCCCCTGCAGTTCGCCTACAGAGCCAACAGATCTGTAGACGACGCCATTAACCTGGCCCTCCACCACATCCTACAGCACCTGGACTCCCCGGGGACCTACGCCAGGGTCCTGTTCGTGGACTTCAGCTCTGCCTTCAACACAATCCTGCCATCCCTGCTCCAGGACAAGCTCTCCCAGCTCAACGTGCCCGATTCCACCTGCAGGTGGATCACTGACAGGAAGCAGCGAGTGCGTCTGGGGAAGAATGTCTCGGACTCTCGGATTATAAATACAGGAGCCCCACAGGGCTGTGTTCTTTTTCCCCTGCTCTTCTCCCTGTACACCAACCACTGCACCTCCAGCCACGACTCCGTGAAGCTGATCAAGTTCGCGGACGACACCACCCTCATTGGACTCATCTCCAACAACGATGAGTCCGCCTACAGGAGGGAGGTGGACCAGCTGGTGTCCTGGTGTGCAGTGGTAACAACCTGGAGCTGAACGCCCAGAAGACAGTGGAGATGATTGTGGACTTCAGGAAGAGCACTGTCCCCCCGCCCCCACCCTCCGTGATGGACTCCCCCATCACCTCTGTGGAGTCCTTCCGTTTCCTGGGCACCACCATCACCCAGGACCTCAAGTGGGAGCCGACCATCAGCTCCCTCATCAAGAAGGCCCAGCAGAGGATGTACTTCCTGCGGCAGCTCAGGAAAGCCAAGCTGCCTGCACAGATGTTGGTGCAGTTCTACACGGCCATCATCGAGTCCATCCTCACCTCCTCCATCACCGTGTGGTTCGCTGGAGCCACAGTCAGGGACAAACAGAGACTACAGTGCATTGTGCGCTCTGCAGAGGAAGTGATCGGCCGCAGCCTTCCATCGCTGCAGGACCTATACGTCGCCCGAGCTCGAGGCCGGGCTGGTCGTATCACAGCCGACCCCTCTCACCCTGCACATGGACTATTCCAACCACTCCCCTCAGGCAGGAGGCTGCGGTCCATCAGGACTAGAACCTCCCGCCACAAGAACAGTTTCTTCCCCTCTGCTGTTGGACTCTTGAACACTTCTTAACCTGTCCCCCCGCCCTTTATAAAGTCACTTTTCTTCACTGTACTGCTGTCACCTTACATTGTGTGCACCATGTGCACTTGTATATTGTAAATAGTAACTGTAACTCTATTTTAAATTTAAATGTATTCTTTAGAAGTGTTTTTTATTCTTATTTTTATTATCTCTTTCTGACTGTTGCACTGAGCCAAAGCAATTTCCAAGTCTGTGACCTCCTGTTACTTACGTGGCAATAAAAATGATTCTGATTCTGAACATTTAAAAACATAGTTTTGACACTCAATCGCATACAATCACTCAATAATACTTCCCACTCTTTTTCCAGACTTTTTTCCACTTTGAATACATATTTAAAAAGTAAAAAAACAATAAAACAACATTGATGGATTTCATGATTTTGTCTGAGCTGGTCCGCAGAAACCCAAGCCCAAATTTATTCTTTTCAAATGCCACCACACTGTTTAGAGAAGCACATTTACGGTGGAGGCCACTCCATGCCTCAATGACAGCGACTAGCATTAATAAAATGAACTCAAACATGCTATGATAAATAAACAGAACTTTGCTGCACCTAAAGACTGTAGGCAGCAATGAAGAAAAAAGGCAATGAAATATCGGTCTCCAGCTGACTCCGAGCCGGACCACCACCTCTCTAAACATACAACTCAAAAGCACAAACTTAAACAGTATCATCAATACATTACGGGGGAAGCGGGGTAAACGGATTCTTTGCCGAGCTGCAGTTTTACAAGTGTTCTAAGACAGACGTCTGGTATTTAGCTTTTCACAGGCCTACTGAGGGGGTACAGTTTCGGCTTATGCAGTCATCCTTTCTCAAAAGCTACAACAGACTGGCACTGAGCCTGCTGGGTCTAAGACACAGTAGCTAGCTTTGGACTTTATTACTACTGCCTTCAGAGAATATGATAAACGGTGTTATATATAAAAGCAGGGAAGTATTGTGACGGCCAAGTGTAAGGCAGAAGTACAGTTAAGCACTGTAGTAAAATTAAGTCTTTGCTTTGGAAAAAGTGAGAGGTGGTGGTGGTTCAAATAAGGTGAAGAGACAAGGTTAGCCAATGGCCCCAAACAGAACTATTCAAGCTGCAGACAGTGGCCCTGGGAAAATTGGAAATGCAATATGAGATATGCAACCATCACTTTTGGACACAGGCCATTGAGCAGAGGACAAACTGCTAAAACTATTATCACACAGGTCCAGGTTTTTCTCTCACACGGTGACAGAACTTTAATTCATAATATGTCAACTCAGATATAAAAAATGTGCTATACTGCTTGCACAATCATGTTTTTTTGACCTTCTGTCAGAACTGTTATTGGTTGCAGTTGTCACTCAGGGAATAGTTTGTTAATTTAATTCTATCTGAGAATGTTTGTGCACTTTTTGGAACCTTTAAAACAATAAACCTAATACATTTAGAACAGAAGGGAAAGCCCACAGCAATGCCGAATGAAATGTCACCACTGTGGCATGAATATAGGTTTTCTTCTCTTAACATCCCAATATCCCACTAAAGGCGTTATTGAGAGCTACCTTCATCCTAGTGGATTTGAAATAACTGTGCGCAACATCTATTTCAAATTACAGAAAATCCTGTCAAAACAAAAAAGCCTCTAAAGCTGTATTTTGACTCCGATGGTTGTACTTACTTAATCCAAATCCTGTGTGGCCCGAGAGAGTAGAATAAGCTAAAATCCCTTTCGAAAAATCAAAAAGAAGGTGGTAACTCAGCTTTGGTTATTTTGGGATCATAGACCAATTTCACTGATATCGCATTGGTTTTTTCAATCATTTTCTACAGTTGTTCATACTTTCCAACCAGGGCTGTTGATATTTGAATGACTGTTGTTCAGATATATAACATTATAGCAACAGCAATAATGGTCATTTACCGCCACACCCAGGGTACATAGCTGAACTCCAGTATCTGTGCTACGTCAACCAGTGAATTAATCAGCTTTTGCGAATAAAAATGAATAACTTCACATTTTGTATATTTGGTATCACAATTTTAAGCAATATGAGGGTTGCTGATACCATGAAACTGTATACCTTAGTACTCAGTCTGTCAGTAAGTCCGACCAACTAAAGCAGGGGCCTACAACCATTTTCACCCAGAGAGCGACTTGCTCAAGGCAAAATGGCAGCGAGCTTCTTCAGGGGAGAAATACTACATCTAAATTGTAAGAGCTGTAGATGGGGTACCGTTAAAAGTATCCTCGTCATTATTTATCATTTTTTATAAAGTTAGCATGCTTTTATAATAGTAGTGGACATTTGAGTCATACATTTTGGAAGAGTGGACAAGAGTAATAATGTCTAAATCCTACTGATAATGTCTAAGACCTACTTTTGCCCTGGACCTTTGTCTCCATTGGCATCTATACTATCTATTTCTAGGATTTAATATTTTTTACTTTTGACAATTTAAACCTTTTTGCAACTTTGATTGTACTTGTTTGAGCTACAGTGTCCAATTTAATTATGGCCGTTTCATAATTAACTTGGACACTGTAGCTCAAACAATGGTAATCAGGTTGGTAAAGGTTTTTGTGAGTATTTGCAAAACAAAAAAGAAAAAATTCATAAAACCGAAAATCTTGTATTTCCTTTTAGAATCTAAACTATCAGAATGAATAACCAACTAAGTTTTGCAGCATTTTTTCCCCTTTGGCTGGCTCTGAGCTCGTAACACCAAACCAACAAACCAAACTACAGCCTTCCAGGTGATGATGAAGCTTACCAGAATCCTGACTGGACTTGGACTCTGAAAGGCTGACGGCAGAGGCATCTCGGGACTGGTCAATCATGCCAATGTTGACCTTGTGCTTGTAGGGATCCAGAGCACCCAGGAGGCCCAGCACACGGATGGCCTGATGAAAACATACAATGGAACATAAACAATCCTACACACACAAATTTTGTTCAAAACCAGATGTGCCCATTTTACACATTTTGAGTGGTGGAAAGTCAGGACATTGAATTGCTTGGACGATATTCTGGATCTACTTTTCCATGTTAACACCTTCACTTAGGCATGGTTTTTGTGTCCATTGTACCGGAGTAGGAAACCTGACTCGCTGCATATAAAACAAATCAATTGCAACCAATGAGACCAAGAAAAAACTCTTTTCAGCGCTCTATTCAGTTACCAACATGGTGTAGAAGATGATTTTTTCATTGAGTTACTTTGTGTCATTCGATTATTATAATTCAAAATGGTCAAAAACAGAAATACATTTTTACTTTTCTTTTAAAATATTGTCCAAAATTCCATTTATCAACCGCAATGAAGCCTTTAAAAAACATGCAACTCGAGTGTGCACGACTCTCCGATCCGGAGGTGATCCTTCCAGAGCCCCAGTATTGACCCCCGTTTACCAGAGCCGCAGATCCTCTGGTCGGAGCTACCCTTGAAACCTGCATGTGCTTTTGTTTAAAATGTCCTTATTTAAAAAAGATGTTCATTAGGTCATTAATATGTCAGCATTTATACTGCTACGTGCACAAAGAAACATGTTTAGCTCTACATTAGCTTTGATGCAACGGACAATTGCTGCAGTGATACGTCCTCACTTTGCTCTCTGCTGATTGTAAACGACTTGAGCAAGACTATTGTATACTGTATAACATGAATTCAAGTAGGAAAGTAATAGTTTAAAATGCATAGCACTAAAAGTACTGAAGCATTAGATTGATAATTTTACATCAGGGTAACTTTGCAACACATTGTTAAGCAGTCCTACTTGTTAAGCCAACATGTTTTGTTAGCAGAAATTATTTGGAGACTGACAGGAAGTGACATTGAGTAAAAAGTTAACCCAGACTTACTGCAGAGCTTTAACTGTGAAAGAGGCCTTTGGGAGTTTCAAATGTACATGTTTTATTGTATAGGCTTGTCTGCAAATAGCTCAAGCCAAAAGCATGTAACAGCAAGGCTCCCCTTAACTGTAAGTGTTGTAGCAGACGATACCATTAGTTACATCACACACATATGACTGAGTTCCACAACAATATGGGGGTCGAACATTTGGTGGTCCAGTCAATATATTGTGAAGGAATGGGGAGGGGGTGGTTGCAACTGTACCTCTCTGCGGATGCCCTGGTTCTGTTCAGTTTTGAGGAAGTTGAGCAGGACCTCCAGAAGGGAAGGGTACTTGCGGTAGGGCTCCACCACATAACCTGTGCTGGCAACCTGTTGGCCCAGGGTCCACAGTGCCACCTGGAGGAGAGACAAAGGAAACGCCTTTTAATATCATCACTTTTTCTTTTTTTTCTAAATTCCTCTAGCATGAAAGAAAAGGAAAATGGTAATACCTGTCTCTTGGCCAGTGAGGAGGAATCCTGGAGCATGTCCATGATGATGGGGAACAGCTCATCCATCCACTTCCGCATTTCGAGACCACTCACCTGAATGCCAAACACAACCTTAACACTGGATCAAATGGCATTTTCAAAATGGGCTGAGAAGCCAGACACAGACTTTTAGATTTTATAAAGTATTTGAGCTTGAATTTTGAATAATAAGATACACTTATTATTTATTATTCATTAGAGTTGGAAAATGAATTCTATCTGCACTGTGCCATTGGAATTTATAGGGACTTCTGGGGTTACAGTTACCTTTCTGCGTGTGTAAAAGATTCTGCTAAGACATATATATACATATATTACACATACATACATAGATACATACATACAATTGAATTGGTTATAGCATTGAAACATGTTTACCTGTGCCAGCTCGCCAATAGTGGCAAGAACACTTATGACCACACCAGGATTAGGATCTGGATCTTTCAATTTCAAAATAAGGGCCTGTATAATCCAAAACAGTAAAGGTGAGATCATTGTTTACAGCAGCAGAGATTTTTTTATTTATTTATTTTTTAAAACCTTTAAGATGGGCTCCATATATGGGCGTATGAGCCGAGGAGCATTTGACACCAGGTGGCCAAGCATTCTTGCACTCTGCTCCTTGTTTCTCCCCACACCGCTGTGCTCCAACTCAGTCAAAATCTGAATACAAAACACATTATTTACTCAATATCAGCCTCAACACTTCATCAGATACTGCCAGACGTCTGAAAAGTCTTTGCTGCCCTCTGCAGGATTTAAAGGGGAAATACAAAGATGAAACCCAGTTTCCACGTCATTTTCACTCTCAGTTGTTTTTAGAGCAATTCATTAATGTTTGAGCAAATTAAAAGGGTAGCACCATATTTGTAACGCCACAATCAAGGGTAAACCAAAACAAATGTCGTAAATGCGTATTTTACTACATGATAGGCTTGAAACCAATCCACAAAACTACAGAGCACAGGCCGTTTTGTTCAAATTTAGACAATTTTTAAAACCATTGGGGCTACCCTGATTCATACTCTTGCTTTTGATGTGACCAGGTTTTTTGCTAAAATTGTGTAAAAGGACCAAACTTAGCCATACAGCAGGACTGAATGTGGAAGCGCACCCGTTGATATTTCAAATGGACTAAATATACTATATACATGCATAATAACGAAGCATTGTGACCTAAATTATCACTGTATATCATCATATATCAAGTAAAAGCATGTCATGTCTCTTTTGTGTTTAAATGTCATATACGCTTTTATCAACATTGTGCACAGTTGTACCTGTATAAGCATCTTGCGCAGAAAGGGCATGACAAATGCAGGATTCATGCTGCTGAGGCGTCCAATTGTGCAAATGGCCAGTTCTCTAATCTCAAACACCTCATCATTCAGCGCCACAAACAGAGCTTGCAGGTTTTCAGCCTGGGCAAGGTGTGCATCAAAACGCTCATCGAGGGATGCCAGGACGCAATATCGTATATCTGGATCTAGAGAAACCATTCAGGATTTAAGCAAGAACCTTTGCATAAGCACTTGTTTTTATAATTTTGTGTTACCTGGGTCTGTAATGCCAACAACCAGCAGTTTACTGAGCACATCTGCCACCACCTGCACAGCGGTTTGACTGACGACGTGTCCATTGATGAGGTGGATGGAGGGGGTGAGGAGGCGGGAGCAGGTCCGTGCAGCCTCCATCCTGACCTCCTTGTGCTCACTGTTCAGGAAGTGGTCAGCACAATGTCGAACAAACTGTGTCAAAGAGTGTCCTAACGAGGAAAAAAAACTACATTATTGGCCAAACATTCCAGGTTGACTGAAGGCATGGAGGCCCATATGACCCATTCACAATATTTCAGCTTCATGCACAACAACTAAGGCATGGGTAAACAACATATATTTAAAAACGTGAAAATAAACTTGCAAATCAGAAATTATTTAGTAAACTAATTTGTTCTACATTTTCTGGTTTCTTATGTTTTCCACATGAATCCTTAATAAATCCTTCAATCCTAATTATAAAAACTAATTTGTCAACTAATATTGAATTTGGTTGACTAGGATAAATAACTAACCAGACATATAGCCCTACTAAAAAGTCTGTGAACCGCTTTTTATTAATATTGTTAGCTTTTTAGAATGATCAATTCATTTGTTTTGTTTGCGTGGATGACTGTGTTTTTCTTGCTACTGGACCCCTGAATTTTTTCCTACAGGGATCAATAAAGTATATAACTAACTAACAAAATACCAGCTAGGTCAACGATTACACCAATTTCCACTTTCTATTAGAAGAATACTCACCTTCAAATTCAAAGCTCCCAAGCGTACGCAGCGCAAGAGTAATGCTGCCCACATCACTGGCTTCAGGTATGTTGGTGAGGCTTGGGGAGGCCAGCTGGTGTGCCAGGCCTTTGGGCATGCCAGGGTGACGCAGAGGCTTGTGCATCAGCACCAGCGACAGCATCTTCAACAAACCATCCTGGATGTCCTTCTTGAGCTGAGGGATTTGACGGCTGAGGTCGTACAACACTGAAGTCAAGGCAGGGCTGGACAAAGAGTTAAATTAGTACGTTTGACAAGCGAAATGTGGAATATTTCACATTAATACATTTTACCAATTACCTTAGTCCTACAGCAAGCATGGGCTCTAATAGCTCCTTGATTTCCGGTTGTATACTAGGTCCCATGGCTCTGGACAACATGCTTATGCAAGTAAACACTGTTGCATCTACTTGCATAGTTTTCTGCCTCCTGTGAACAAACAAATGTAAAGATATTACATTTACAACATAAATCGTACATCTGTCTGACAATAGAACCATTTTGGTACTCACTTGTGAGCAAAATCTTTAGGAGGAAGAGCAGCCTTGATGATCTCTAGAATCTTGGACAAATATGGTTGGATGTCTGCTCTCACAGCCACAACCAGAAGTCCCAGAGCCTGAAAAGCAGCTGTCCTCTCCTTCTCCTTCTTAAGACAGCCCAGAAGGTAGCCCATCGTGTCTGACAAGTATTGATCTGTGAGATAAAAAGATGTAAAATTAAAAGATCTAAACAGTCACAGCAAATATCCCTCTCCGTACTTAGACATTCACAGCTCGCTACCACACTCCACGACACTGCTCTTTGGGACCCCATCACCTGTCCTCACCCCTCATCATGCTCTACCCCGGTCCTCACCTCACGTTCCCCGGTTGCGGCTGTTCCTCCTGTCCCTCCCGGTGCTCGTCCCTCCTCTACGGTCCCGGAGCCTGCTGCCCATACCCAGAGCGGCGCGGAGCAGAAGCCTGGAGACCACAGAACGTCCACAGTGTCCTCACGTCGCAGGTTGGTGGAGGAGGCTGTGCGCAGACGCTCGGGGAGCTTCCCACGCTCTAAAACAGCGCGGGGCTCCCCGGGTGTCACGCAGGACCAACTGCGGGAAGCCCCGGGGGGATCTCTGTGCCCTAACGTGGCGCAGGATACCTCCGGGAGCGCTGTCCCTGCTGTGGGAGGGTCCGTGTGCTCTGACGCGGAGGGAATCCCCAGAGGCGCTGCACAGAGCAGGTCCTATGCTGAGGTGGCCGCGGGGGGGTCTCTGCGCTACATCACGGCGCAGAGTCCTCCCGTGGACGCTGCCTCGCCCGCGGGGGGGTGTCTGCGCTCCATTACGGCGCGGACTCTTCCCGTGGACGCTGCCTCACTCGCGGGGGGGTCTCTGCGCTGTTGCACGGCGAGGAGTTCCCCCGCAGATGCCACCTCGCCTCCTGGTGGATCCCCCCGCCCGGTGCGCGGCCCTCCCACATTCGCCCACACTACCACCACCACCAACCCGGCCACAGTGGAGTCAGTTCGGTCTCCGGATCCTCCACCCTGCTCCACAGCCGCTCGTGGCGGCTCCGCTCCGGGCACCCCCCCAAGGCTCTCCTGTCCCCTGCTCTCCACCAGGTCCCACCCCAGTCACACCCTCCCCTCCGCGGCCTCTGTTTGCACCAACCACGCTCCTGGTGGGGGATTCTATTATCAGACACTGCAAGTTTTTTAATGCCATCACACACTGTTTTTCTGGAGCCACAGTCCCCACCATCCTCATTAAACTACCCTCACTTATTCAGACAGCACCCTCCACAATAACCCGGATCATAATTCATGTCGGCACAAATGACGCTTCACTCCGCCAATCCGAGACCACAAAACGCCATTTTAAGGATCTTTTTAACCTTTTATCAAACTCAGGGAAAACTGTTTTTATCTCCGGTCCTCTGCCCACTACGAACCGCGGCAGGGAGCGTTTTAGCAGGATTTTATCACTCAACACCTGGCTCAATCAAACATCACTCCATCACAACTTTGGTTTTATAGACAATTTTAATCTGTTCTGGAACCGCTACCCCTTCTTCACACCCGACGGACTTCACATCAACCCACTTGGCAACCGGTACCTGATCTCCAACATCACCCACGCAGTCCAATCCCATCCTACATACCTCTGACAACCCACCCCCACATCCCACATCCCTCCTGCCCGTCTGTGCCCCAGCATCAACCCCTGCTCTCTTCCCCAGACAAAATTACAGTTTTGTCCAGACCCCGCCCCTACAGACCGTCCATACCCAGGAAACCGTCCTTCACCAACCTCATCACTGTTTCCCCCTGCCCTCTCTCATCCTCTGCTCCCCCCACTTCGAACTATGGACTCCCCATCAACAATAACAACCCATCTACCATCAGGTTTGCCCTTTTAAATGTACGCTCCCTTTTAAATAAGACTTTTACTGTTAATGATTTGATTTTAGAACACGAGCTGGATGGTATGTTTTTAACTGAGACCTGGCTGGGTCCGGATGCTCCGGCTGTTCTTACAGAGGCCTCCCCCCCCAATTTTAACTTTGCTTTTAAAACAAGAGAAGGAAAGAGAGGTGGCGGCACAGCCTCAATATGCAGTAACACCCTGGCCACCAAACCTATTGTTTTTAACCAATACTCAAGTTTTGAGTATCACTCTCTTGTTTTTAGCAACCCCAAAATTTTAACAGTAATTATTTATAGGCCACCTAAAAAGTGCAGCCTTTTTATTATTGAATTCTCAGCGTTTTTATCACAGTTACACAATTCTTACAATATGATAATTTTAACCGGTGATTTTAACATACACATTGACAATCCCTCTGACAATTTTACCCTAGATTTCTTAGATGTTCTTAATTACATGGATTTTACCCAACACGTCAGACAGCCAACACACAACAGGGGACGCACCCTCGACCTGGTCATTACCTATGGCCTGACTGCGGATGTGTCCTCTGTTGTCGACTTGGCTGTCTCGGACCACTACTGTGTGTTTTTTAACATCACTGGTTTTATACAGCGTGAGACCTCTGTGAGAACCGTGAGGAAGCGACATCTAACCCCTGAAGTGGCTGCAAATTTTATCAACATCCTAAACAACACTCCCCACTTGGTTTTACCTGCCCCCTGTGATTTTATAGCAAATGATTTTAACAGTAGACTTAGTTCTGCGTTGGATCAGGTGGCTCCTTTAAAAACAAAAATCATAAAAACAAAATCTGCACCCCCATGGAGAAATGAAGAAGTACGCAAAATGAAACAAGAGTGCAGGGTGGCAGAACGAAGATGGAGGAAAAATAAAACAACAATCAACTACGAAATATATAAAAACAATCAAAAAGCATACAATTACACAATTAGAAATCATAAGAACAAATACTTTGCAAATCTAATCAGCCAGAACAAAAATAATCCAAAAATCCTTTTTTCAACCATCGACACCATTTTAAACCCTGATTTTAGCATGTCTCTTTTAACCCCCACAGACTCCCTCTGTGAGGATTTTGCAGTCCACTTCACGGGGAAGATAAATACAATCAGATGTAACATTTTATCCAACCGCACTACTGTTTTTAACACATCTGATTGTTTGTCTTCGCCAGAGGAAACACTGGACAGTTTTGTCCTGGTTGATGCTGAGATGCTTGATAAAGTTTTCTCCTCAGTGAGGCCCACCACATGTCTTTTAGATCCAGTCCCCACTCCATTTTTTAAGTCATTTTATGAATCTTTTAGAGAGGAGCTTTTAAACCTGATGAATTGCTCTCTTCAGACTGGGGTCTTTCCTGCAGCCTTCAAAGCGGCTGTGGTGAGACCCCTTCTGAAGAAGAGCAATTTAGATTTTAATGATTTTAACAACTACAGACCGGTATCCAACTTACCATTTTTAAGCAAAATTTTAGAAAAACTTGTTTTTACCCAGCTCAATGCCTTTTTAGATCAGCAGCAAATTTTAGAGAAATTTCAATCAGGTTTTAGGGTGAACCACAGCACAGAGACTGCTCTTTTAAAGATTTTAAACGATCTTAGACTAAGTTATGATTTCAAAAAGGTGACTGTGTTGGTTCTACTGGATCTTAGCGCTGCCTTTGATACAGTAGACCACACAATTCTTTTATCACGCCTACAACACCTCGGCCTCTCTGGTGCTGTCCACAAATGGTTCACTTCTTATTTAACAGACAGATCCTTCATGGTAAGTTTGGATACCTGCTCCTCTCAGGTCCATAAAATCACATGTGGTGTGCCCCAGGGTTCCATTTTAGGTCCAGTCCTTTTTAACCTGTACATGCTCCCTCTTGGCGGTGTCGTCAGGAGACATGGAATTAACTTCCACAGTTATGCAGATGATACTCAGCTGTACATCTCCATGTCTCCTGATGACACCAGGCCAATGGATGCTCTTTTTAACTGCATTTTAGACCTGAAATCCTGGATGGCAGAAAACTTTCTCCAGCTTAACCAGGACAAAACTGAGGTTTTAGTCATCGGTCCTGAGGCCCAGAGAGAGAAACTTTTATCAAAACTCCAATCACACTCTTTTAATCCATCATCACAAGTGAAAAATCTGGGCGTAATCTTTGACTCTGAGCTGACTTTCATTCCTCACATCAAGAGTATCACAAAAATAGGTTTTTATCATCTAAAGAACATCGCCAGAGTCCGCCCCATTCTCTCTCGGGGCAACACGGAGACGCTGATGCATGCTTTTATCACCAGTCGCATTGACTATTGTAATGCCCTGCTCTCTGGTCTTCCCAAAAAGAACATTGCAAGTCTTCAATTACTCCAAAACTCGGCCGCACGTGTCCTGACTAAGACCAGGGGGCGGGACCACATTACACCGGTTTTAAAATCGCTGCATTGGCTCCCCGTGTGTTTCAGAATCGATTTTAAGGTTCTTTTAATGGTTTTTAAATGTCTTAATGGTCTTGGGCCTTCTTATCTTTCAGATTTGCTTTTATCCTATGAACCTTCACGGCCCCTGCGCTCCTCCGGCAGCAGACTCCTAACCATCCCCAAAGTCAGGACACACACTCACGGTGAGGCATCTTTCCAGCACTACGGCCCCCGTCTCTGGAACAGTCTGCCGGAGGAGCTCAGGGCCGCAGAGAACGTTCATATTTTTAAAAGTAGGCTCAAGACGCACCTTTTTAGAGTAGCTTTTGATTAGTTTTTATTATTCCATTCTATTTATCTTTTATTATTTATTATTTATTATATTGCTATTGCTATTATTCATGTATTGTGTGTTCCTTTTAGTCTCACATTTTAGTGTTTTACTTATTGTATTGTTTTTAGTGTACCCAGTGTTTCCTCTGGAGGAGCCCTCTGCACCGGGAGCAGTGGTCGGTGTGGCTGCGGGGGTCGGACTCTTGGGCCTGGTGGGGGCCTGGGGCCTCGGTTTCATGTCTCCTCTGGGTCCTGTGTCGTCCCCTGTGGCTACGGGCGGCTCTCTGCTCCTGGTGCAGACGGCTCCTTGGATGACGCTTTTTCAGCTGGTTGCATCTGAACCCTGCCAAGTCTCTCATCATGTTTTTATTGTTTTACTGGTGTGTGTGTGTGTGTGTGTGTGTGTGTGTGTGTGTGTGTGTGTGTGTGTATGAGTGTTCATGAGCGCGTGTGTGTGTGTTTGTCTGTGGTTTGGGGGGGGTCTGTTGGGTGGTCTGGGGGAGGGGTCTTGGGCCGGCGGGATTGTTTTTAACCAATCTGTAAAGCACTTTGTGTTGCATCTTATGTATGAAAAGCGCTTTATAAATAAAATTTGATTGATTGATTGATTGATTGATTGATTAATTGATTGAAACATGTTCTCATACATGTTTTGCTCCTTCATTGAGTGTAAATATTTAACTCACCTGTGAAAATGTGAGCCTGAAAAGCAGCTAAGCGTGGGAGAAGATTGAGAATTGTCATCTGGATCAGTGGATTTTTACTGGTCCTGTACTTTAGCACCCATCGGCAAACCTAGATGAACAACAGATAAACAGATTTGTATACATTATGTTTGACTTTGTATCTTACATTACATAAAAGAATATACAGTGGCTTTGCGAAAGTATTCGGCCCCCTTGTACCTTTCAACATTTCGCCACCAAGATATAAAATTTTAATTTTTTGTCATGAATCAACAACAAGTGGGACACAATCGTGAAGTGGAACAAAATGTATTGGATAATTTAAACTTTTTTAACAAATAAAAAACTGAATAGTGGGGCCCCTTTACTTTCAGTGCAGCAAACTCAGTCCAGAAGTTCAGTGAGGATCTTTGAATGATCCAATGTTGTCCTAAATGACTGATGATGATAAATAGAATGCACCTGTATGTAATCAAGTCTCCGTATAAATGCACCTGCTCTTTGATAGTCTCAAGGTTCTGTTTAAAGCGCAGAGAGAACCATGAAGACAAAGAAACACACCACGCAGGTCCGAGATAATGTTGTGGAGAAGTTTAAAGCCGGATTTGGATACAAATAGATTTCCCAAGCTTTAAACATCTCAAGGAGCACTGTGCAAGCAATTATATTGAAATGGAAGGAGTATCAGACCACTGCAAATCTACCAAGACCCGGCCGTCCCTCCAAACTTTCATCTCAAACAAGGAGAAGACTGATCAGAGATGCAGCCAAGAGGCCCATGATCACTCTGGATGAACTGCAGATAACTACAGCTGAGGTGAGAGAGTCTGTCCATAGGACAACAATCAGTCGTGCACTGCACAAATCTGGCCTTTATGGAAGAGTGGCAAGAAGAAAGCCATTTCTCAAAGATATCCATAAAAAGTCTTGTTTAAAGTTTGCCACAAGCCACCTGGGAGACACACCAAACATGTGGAAGAAGGTGCTCTGGTCAGATGAAACAAAAATCAAACTTTTTGGCCACAATGCAAAACGATATGTTTGGCGTAAAAGCAACACAGCTCATCACCCTGAACACACCATCCCCACTGTCAAACATGGTGGTGGCAGCATCATGGTTTGGGCCTGCTTTTCTTCAGCAGGGACAGGGAAGATGGCTAAAATTGATGGGAAGATGGATGGAGCCAAATACAGGACCATTCTGGAAGAAAACCTGTTGGAGTCTGCAAAAGACCTGAGACTGGGACGGAGATTTATCTTCCAACAGGACAATGATCCAAAACATAAAGCCAAATCTACAATGGAATGGTTCACAAATAGACGTATCCAGGTGTTAGAATGGCCAAGTCAAAGTCCAGACCTGAATCCAATCGAGAATCTGTGGAAAGAGCTGAAGACTGCTGTTTACAAACGCTCTCCATCCAACCTCACTGAGCTTGAGCTGTTTTGCAAGGAAGAATGGGAAAGAATTCCAGTCTCTCGATGTGCAAAACTGATAGAGACATACCCCAAGCCACTTGCAGCTGTAATTGCAGCAAAAGGTGGCGCTACAAAGTATTAGCGCAAGGGGGCCGAATAATATTGCACGCCCCACTTTTCAGTTTATTTGTTAAAAAAATTTAAATTATCCAATAAATTTCGTTCCACTTCACGATTGTGTCCCACTTGTTGTTGATTCTTTACAAAAAAAAATTAATATTAGATTTTTATGTTTGAAGCCTGAAATGTGGCGAAATGTTGAAAGGTTCAAGGGGGCCGAATACTTGAATGTTGAATTATATTTTAAGATATGGAACACGTGAAAAGGCCTAACCTTAATTCTAAACTCAGGCCATACCCTTCAGTGTCCTTACAGGCTGCGGTGTCCTTTACCTCGTCAAATCTCTCCTCCATGAGCTCTCTGCAGTATCGGCTCTCCACCAGCGAGCTCTTGGCTGGGGCAGGTGTGGCTCCAAAGCTCAGAAAGCCCTGAGGAGTGCTGTACCCCAGAAGACCCAGCAGCGCATTAGACTGCTGCGGCTGCACGGACTGGAAACTGGTGAACGGGGTGATATGGCGTGGCTTGGTCCCAAAACCCATCAGCTCTTTGCAGTATTTATCATGAACAAGTTGTTGTTGGGTGATTTCTTCCATCTCCTCCCGCATACGCTGTCACACATTACAGAAATCATTATAACATTTTGACATTTTTCAACCAGTCTTTGGCACCCTAACCCTAACTCATAAGGTTGCTGTAGGGTATGTAAAAACTAAAAGGACATAGGCTGATGAGACATGTACTGCCGGTTCTTTCCACAATGCTCAGTGTATTTATCAATAATGATTCTGATGTCATTACATCAAAAATATTGATTAAATAATACATTAAAGGGAGCCTTACCTCTCCCTCCATGCTGCTGATGCGAACAAGCTCATTCAGAATCAGCAGAGCGCCATGGACCCTGTCGTCACGATTCATCCCTTTCTCTTTGGCTAATGTTTCATCAAAACCTTTTTCTGCCTCTTCAAATGTTTGCTGAGGAAGGAGAAAGCAGCTTTGTACCATATCTACAAAAATATGCATACTAATAGATGCATTGGTGACGTACTTTATACCACTGTGGTTTCTGCATCTCCTTGGTCTCCCTCTGAGTAGTGAGGATGAGAGAGGCTCTGAGCGCAGACACCGCTCCTTCACGGATTGCCTGTTTTTGGTCCCAAACCGCATAGAATATGTTGTCAAAGAACGGTTGCACTTGCTGAAAGAAGAAGGTGGGAGCGCTCACAGCCAGCTCTCTCAACACCAACACCTGTAAGAAATTGTAAATCAAAATAAGCATTAACATAAAGTAGAACTACTTGTAAAGTAGTTCAACCAAACAGAAAATAAATATATAATAAAGTAATGTTGACATAATAACAAATGATTGGGTTACGTACAGACGCGTGGCGCCTGCCCTCATTCCTGTCCGCTCCCAGCCATTCAAGAGCCCTCTTCACTTCAAACTCAACGTACTCTGCAGTGAAGGTGTCCCCTGCCATAGACAAGTGACCCATGGCTTTAGAGGCCATCTCCATCACCACTGGGTCACTAGAGGGCAGCAGGTTACGCAGGTAGTTGGCAAAGCGGCTGATCCTGGTGGCATTGCCGCCCTCAACTCCAATTAGGCTTACTGTAAAAAAAGGGATTTTATCATAATTTAAAAATGCTACACACAAAGGACATCTCTGAGAAACTAGAATATGTTACACATTCTACAGCAGGACCTATACCTGTTATGACAAATACTCTATGTGTAAGTCCATGGCAGATAACTTACCTATAGCGAGAATCCCTCCTTTCTTCTCATTTACATCTGAGCTGGAGACCAGCTCAAAGATGTGATGATTCAACTCATCATAGAAGGTTGTGGCTTCATCTTGGCTCAACTGGAAAATAAATCATTATACATTTTCTAAATAAACTTGAAACATTATTTATAATATGGAATAGCTTTTAATGTTATTTTAGTATAGTATTGCTACCACCATGATTTAGGAGGTTTGTGGTTTTGTATACAGTCACAACAGACGTGTGTGTGTGTGTGTGTGTGTGTGTGTGTGTGTGTGTGTGTGTGTGTGTGTGTGTGTGTGTGTGTGTGTGTGTGTGTGTGTGTGTGTGTGTGTGTGTGTGTGTGTGTGTGTGTGTGTGTGTGTGTGTGTGTGTGTGTGTGTGTGTGTGTGTGTGTGTGTGTGTGTGTGTGTGTGTGTGTGTGTGTGTGTGTGTGTGTGTGTGTGTGTGTGTGTGTGTGTGTGTGTGTGTGTGTGTGTGTACTTGTTTTCAAATCCTGGTGGGTTCCATAACCTGAGATTCCACTCACGTCATGGGGACTGGTTTTACGTGGTGGGGCCCGAACACCGGACCCCACTGGTCCAAGCTTAATAATCAATGGGTAATGCTTTTCTAACGGTCCTTATGCAGTCTCTGTAAAAATATGGAAAGGACCCCTGGAGGTTTACTTTCCTGACAAAAGTGTGTTATGTGTCGGAACCCTGGTGGTGGGTTGCGGGATATCAAGGAGGGGCACACTGGGGCAATTTCAGTCCAGCAGGCTGGAGCCAATCATGGAGCAGCACAACAGAGGAAATCAGGTGTCAGGCTAGAAAAAGGTGCAAGTGTGTGGTTCATTAGGCTGCAAGAAATCATGGAGGAGCACACTGAAGCGCACGCTTACAAACCACTGGTAAGTGCTGACTACAAGTCATGACTTCAAATTGTTATATAGAATGATTACAAATTATTTGTTGTTTGTGCAGCTTAGTCAAGAGTCCCTAATTGATGAAGTCGACTCAGATTCTGACGATTTAACTGTCAAGAAGAAACCTGTAAAAAAGTATGGAAAAAGAAAAATCAAAAACACTTTTCTTCAAGACTCGGAAAGTGACGAACCAAAGGCAAATAAGATTGTTATCATGCAGCTGCAAAAGAAGAAAAATGGGGGGCGAGTATACAGCAAGAGACACTTCTGCCTCTACTGTTCAATGTCCTGCCACAAAATGTCCCGTCATTTGACTAGAAAACATGGAAATGAAAGTGACGTAGCCAGAGCATTGGCTCTACCTGTGAAATCTAAAGCACGTAAACTTCAGTTTGATTTGATCAGGAATAGTGGAAACCGTGAGCACAATTTTGAGGTTTTAAAGGCCGGCATTGGAACTTTAGTCCCAGCTAAACAGCCAAATTCCCCAGTTAAATCCAGTGAGTTTTTGCACTGTATAGACTGTGGGGCATTGCTTAAGCGAAAGTCGCTGTGGAGGCATGTGGCCAGGTGCCGGCTTTCACAGAAAGATGCCCAGGCTAAACCAGGTAGAAGTAGGGTCCAGTCCCTCTGCTCCCTAGCCCAGCCTGTACCGGAGGGCATCAGCAAAAAGCTGTGGTCTTTAATTTCGGCAATGCATCAGGATGAGGTCACGGGTGTTGTCAAAGCAGAAAAGGGGATTCTGAGACTCGGAGAGCACCTGTACTTAAAACACGGGCATGATAAGACTAAGCATGATTACATTAGGCAGAAAATGAGAGAAGTCAGTAGGTTAATTAACGAAGCAAAAACCGCAGGGAAACTGAAAACAATTAAGGATTTCTTTATTCCTTCCAACTTTAACCATGTGATTGATGCAGTCAGGTCTGTGGCTGGATATGATGAGGAAACAAATCAATACAAGACTCCATCCTTGGCCCTCAAACTCGGCCATAGCCTCAGAAAGCTAGCAGATATTCTTGAATGTGACTCAAAAATGGAGCATTGTGTTGATGAACTATTTATTAAAAACCTCCAACGAAGCCGGCTGCTTTTTGAGAAGAGGTGGGACGTCTGTGTTTCTTCTGCTGCCCTACAGACCCTCCGGCAAGCCAAGTGGAACACTCCGGACCTGCTCCCTCTGACTGAGGACGTTAGAGCCATGCATGCACATATTGAGGTATGTCGACCTGAATATGTGCAAACCCTAATAAGTGAGCCAACGTCTAAGCATTGGTCTAAACTGGCAGTTTTGACTCTTTGTGAGGTCATCATTTTCAATCGAAGAAGGGAAGGTGAGGTTTCAAAGATGCCACTGACAGCCTTTACCTTAAGAAGTAAGACTGGGATCCATTCTGACATTGCTCTGGGACTGTCCCAACTTGAGAAAAAGCTGTGTCAGCATTTTCAACGCATTGAAATTAAAGGGAAAAGAAGTCGGAAAGTGCCGGTTCTTTTGACTCCTGAAATGATTGCTTCGATGGAGGTGCTGGTGGAGAACAGAAGGGCCTGTTCCATCTCTGACCATAACCCATACTTCTTTTCCCGCCCGGGCGCAGACACCCACATCAGGGGATCAGACTCCCTACGCCAGGTAGCCAAAGAATGTGGTGCGGTGCATCCAGAGATGCTATCCTCAACCAAACTTAGAAAGCACATAGCTACTATGTCTACAGTTCTCAATATGAAAGAGAATGAGATGGACATACTTGCCAACTTCCTCGGCCATGACATTCGCATCCACAGGCAATATTACAGACTACCAGAGGGGACACTGGAGCTGGCCAAAATCAGCAAAGTGTTGATGGCCATGGAGCAGGGAAGAGTGACGGAATTCGAAGGAAAGAGCCTCGACCAGATACAAATTGAGCCTGAAGGTAATTCTTGATATTATTAAAATATGTATGATTTTTTTCCCCTAAAGGCCACTTGTATTTTTATTTTCTGTGCGACAGGGAGAGCAGTAGAGATCCTCTCACAAACGGACGGGCTAAAAGAAACTTCAAGCGGAGAACCTTCAACCATTCATCCAGATGCACCCCATGGTAGTGGCAGTGCCCCTTCTGGTAAGTGTACCAGGTGGGGGATTACAGCCAGGCTGCTTGGTCCTAACCCTGGGAGTGTATATTGCTAATATATTTTTATTTCTCTCCCTAGAACGTGTAAGAAAGCCATGGTCTGCAGTGTTTCCCACACATAGACTAATCTGTGGCGCACCGCCACAGATTAGAGACCGCCCGCCACAAATTGCGTTTCGTATTATTATATATATATTTTTTTTGTTACGCTATTTAAAACATGCATCGTCTAGTGCCGCCGCAGCGGTCAATTTGACAGCGGGGAGGGGGGTTTAAAATGTGGCGGCCCTTCGTAACTCTCACTCAAGCTACGCGTCTCTCCCACATACAGAGACCTACACACACACAGCCCCTCCCCTTCGTGCACACCGCGTGTCTCCGTCTCCATCAGCGATCATCTCTGTAAGCAGCTGTGTCTATTAATTTACGGTAACAGCGGAACGTCCTTTCGGAGTCACCCATTTTTATCGAACAGAAAGCGCGCTGGGGTCTGGGAGACACGTTTTTGTGATTAAAACCTTATAGAGATGCCACCCGGCACACATAGCACCAGCCCCCTACGATTCCTCCGGCAGATTGTGAGTCCTCAGGAGGATAGCCACTCTATTGTTTACATGTATAAAGTACACAATTTGGTCCGCTAGTGCAATTTTCAAGTATTGTAACTATTTACTGGAATAAGGTGTGCGACTAATTTCACTTGACTCATGACCTTATTATTGCCCTCTGCCACTGTACCAAAGACCAGAAACTTTTACTGTAGAAATATTGAGAAATATTGAGGTAAAGTAGCCATTTTGGTCCAAAATACCTCCAAAATAGTCAAAACATGTCACTTTTGATCTACTGTAACTTTTTACTGTAAAAAGGTGTGCGACTAATTTCACTGGATTCATGACCTCAAGATTGTCCTCTACCACTGTACCAAAGACCAGACACTTTTACTGTAGAAATATTGATTTAAAGTAGCCATTTTGGTCCAAAATAGCCTAAAAATGGTCAAAACATGTCACATTTGATCTACTGTAACTTTTCACTGTAAAAAGGTGTGCAACTGATTTCACTGGATTCATGACCTCAACATTGCCTTCTACCACTGTACCAAAGACCAGACACTTTTACTGTAGAAATATTGAGAAATATTGAGGTAAAGTAGCCATTTTGGTCCAAAATACCTCCAAAATAGTCAAAACATGTCACTTTTGATCTACTGTAACTTATTACTGTAAAAAGGTGTGCGACTAATTTCACTGGATTCATGACCTCAAGATTGTCCTCTACCACTGTACCAAAGACAAGAAACATTTACTGTAGAAATATTGAGAAATATTGAGGTAAAGTAGCCATTTTGGTCCAAAATACCTCCAAAATAGTCAAAACATGTCACTTTTGATCTACTGTAACTTATTACTGTAAAAAGGTGTGCGACTAATTTCACTGGATTCATGACCTCCCGCCGACGACCACCCCCGCCGACGACCACCACACATTGCCTTCAAACCTGTGGGAAACACTGGTCTGCATCTGAGGTGAAGGCTGTGGAGAAGACCATGACACCTTTCATACAGACTGGAAAGGTCCCTGGGAAGTCTCACTGCCTGGCCTGCATTAATGCCTCACCAGATGACCTTAGACATCGGACATGGAGTGGCATTAAATTCTATGTCAAAAATAGAATCACTGCAATTCGAAAACAAAATCTAAAATAAAATTCCTTTAAAATAGTTGTTTGGTTTCTATTGACTGTTTTGTATTACTTAAAGTAGTCCCAGTAAAAAAAGATTATGTCTATGGGTCCCATTCTGAACGGCCCTGTCAAAGGGACCCACCAGGTAACAAAAACGTGTATGTGTGTGTGTGTGTGTGTGTGTGTGTGTGTGTGTGTGTGTGTGTGTGTGTGTGTGTGTGTGTGTGTGTGTGTGTGTGTGTGTGTGTGTGTGTGTGTGTGTGTGTGTGTGTGTGTGTGTGTGTGTGTGTGTGTGTGTGTGTGTGTGTGTGTGTGTGTGTGTGTGTGTGTGTGTGTGTGTGTGTGTGCATGGCTGACAGTACCTCTCTGAGCTCCGTGGTCACATAATGCTGTAGGTCTTTGGCAGATTTGGCCCTGGTGTCCTCACTTCGACTCTTCAGTCCAGTGACAAACTGCTGCAGCACTGTGGCTGTGCCCGACATGATCACCATTTCGAGGCCTTGTCTGCAAACAGACCCAGAAAAGAAGAAAAAAACAAACCTTACATGAGTAGAAGACTGCACACCTCGCTCCAACTTTTAACCGTAGCAGCCATTATGTGCAAATCTGCGTTAAGTTATAATAAATATACGTAGTTGAACAATACAACAGACTTGTGTGTGTGTACTTGACATATCACAGTTAACGCACACAGTTTAAATTTCGTTTTAAAACAAAGGACAGTGAATGACACGAGAATAACATGCTTGTTATGTTTAGCCAGCAAGCTAACAAGTGCAGCCATTAGAATCATAATAATAGAAAAAACCACACACTCACTGGTTTTCGCGTTTATGCAAAGAGTCGTAATGAAGCTGGAGGGGCACAGGGCTAACTGTTGTGTGTCATTGTTCAAAGCCTTTACTACAGTGTAACTAAACACAAGACTGATGCACAACGAGCTGTTAGCTATAATGCTGAGACTGGGCTGGACTTTCTCTTACTCTGTGCTCTGTGGCTACAGCCTCAGTAGTCACATTACTGACATCTAGTGGACACTCCCCGTTCCTACCATTCTTGTTGTGCATTCATCACGAGCTGTGTACAGTAAAGTGCTGCATGTGTAAAGTGTCAATCATAGTGTCTGGAATTTAAAAGGTAATTCCTCAGAAACTAAATTTACTTTAATGGATTAGAAAAAATACACATTTTTAAACACAAATAACAAAGAGAGTCTGGATAGAATGAAAAGAAAAGATTGACAAATACGTTTTTGGCGAAATTGTGAAAGACCAGATCAGCCTCTGATTTGTCAACTGTGACTCCAGTTACATAGAAGGCCATCAGTGACAAAGCAGAAGATGAAATCCCACAAGATAAACATGGCTAACACAACATCAGTAAATCACTTCAAGTAATCTTTTTTTTTTATATAATCAATAACAATGTAACTGACCCTTGTATTTTCTATGACAAGGATCACGTCATAGAAAATACAACATGTATGGACCCCTCATAACCCACAATTAGCTAATCACAGGAATTAATTTTCAAATGGGATGTTTTTTCTAAAATTTGGTTTCTATCCTACATGCTAAGAGAAATAAGCAGCCCTAATTGTGAGTGTTTACTAGACCAATTTTACAGACAATATATTAGACATAGCTTTGACTCAAAAACATTGCAACATTGTTTTATACTTTTTATTTATAGGAGGAAGAAAGTAGAGCCCCTGTATTTCCCTTTGTCCTTCTCTGTTTTAATATTAAAGTATCAGATCTTTTTATGTAGCACAAATAATTAAATACAAATGATTCAAGCTCTCCATTTTGAGGATTTAAAACATTTTGGGGATTTAAAACTCATGGTGGATGGGTCCCCTTTTTGAAAACCAATGATCTAAGCCTAATGGAGTATCAGGGCAGCATTAAATTAGCAAGTTTTTTTGTTTGTATATTTCTATATGTGTATGTGTTTTATTGCTTGTCTGTACAGCACTGTAGTAAGTCTAGGCTGTTTTAAATGTGCGCTACAAATAAAAATTCCATCCATCCATCCATCTTCTTCCCCTTAATCCATTTCTGGGTCAAGGGGGTGGCAGTCAGAGCTGCATCCAGTACACAGAGCACCAGCCCCTCACTGATCCTCCTGCAGGTGATGAGTCCACAGGAGCCTTGATCTTTCAGTGCAGGGGGCTTCCAGCAATGTGGGGTTTAAGTGTCTTGCCCAAGGACACAGCGACAGCGGTCATCAGTGGGAGTCGTGAAGCAGGTCTCATGGTGGGCTCGAACCCACAACCTTCAGGCCTGTAGGCTAATGTTCTACCGACTGAGCCACTTTCACCCCCACACAAATAAAAGTTGAGCGACTGAATTACACACGTAGCCTTTCATTTAAATAAAAGGCAATTTACCTCTCTTTACTAAGAATTTATCTGCTGTTATGATGTGGGCCTAACCCTCTCAGAAGTGAAAAACCTGTGGAAGATTCTTATGGAAAAAGGGCTGAGGAGTCATCATCCACATATGCAAGAGGTGAAGGAAGAGCCACCTCAGGCTGCAGACCCCAGGGCCCTGTGTCTTCCCACACACTGGATCGACTTCACATTTTTCACTGCTGACACACTCACACTCACCTTTCACTGTCTTTCACTCGATATTGTGCATTCAGGTGCACTTCAGACTTGTCTCGACAGGCTGCGCAGGCTCAGTGTGAAGTGACAGACGGAGGAAAGCTGTATAGGCCCATGTAATTCTTTGATTCCACCGCCTTTGGACTTGTTTGTTTATCACTGATATCCGCCCTGACCTTTGAAGAGATTTACCCAGAGGTCTGAACACGTCAAACATTCATCAAATATTCCTGTCAGTCACAAACACTTCACAGAGCTAGATTTTCTTTGCATCCTCAGCTCTATGTGTCATTTTTGATTGGAATGACATTAGCCATTGAAAGAAATGCCATTAAACGTGCAGGGTCAAAGTTACTCATTTATTCATTATCTAACTCGATGTCTTATTTTATTTCTTTTTATGAAGGTATTTTTCTATGGCTCTGACTCTAGGCATAAGCACTTTTTCAACCATTATTAATTGTATCCTGTTTTATTGGCTTAGTTCTAACTTGATGAACGGATGAAGAATCCCACGTTACATGAATGTGATGGAGCCAATATAAAGGCCCTCAGAGGATTGACTCATCACTGATGATGTCCAAAAAACGAGTCACCAATCCACCAGATTCCTCTATGAAACAAAAGACCATACTACATCGATGAAATAGCAGCTGCAGAGGCCCATGAGACTGCACAAATGCAATCGTGAAATCAGCTAATGTGATGAGGAGGGGTGCGATGATGACAGTGCAGTTTCACTCCCGACTCATGAACCCAACCTTCTCGTGAACCCATTGATCCAGCGTCCAGTCTGGACTCAGTCCACAGATCTGACTCAGCTTAAATCCTGGATGCTTCACAGAGTAGGCTTGGGCCACCGTGGAGAGCGTTTCCTGGCCTTTACATGACACTGGAGTAGTGGAGGTTAACTTACATTATTATTATTTTTGTGATACATTTTTGTATTCAAGTATGACAATGTATTTGACAATGTATTCACATTTTGCACTGATTAGCATGCATCACACTTGACTTTTTATCCCCCTTTTGGTCCCCATATCCCCTTTCCCTTGTGATGGGCAGAGAAGCTCAAAATAATAAATGGATAACTAAATAAGTAAATAATGATTATAATAACAGAATAGTAAATAAAAATAACAATTAAAAAATATATATATTATAATAATAATAATAATAATAATAATAAAGATTAAAATAAAATAAAATAAAAGGTTCAAGACATCTAAAAACAAAATTTGTAATTAAACAATAAAATAAAAATACATAAATACAATAAACAAACAATAACCCTGTCCAGGTTTATATACAAAGACTTCCAGCAATGAACTAATATTCACATATGCAAATCAAAACATACAGTTGGGTAGATACAAAGTGCTGATTTCCTGCGTCAGAGACATCCACAGAAAAAGCAGTATACATAACGACAATATGTAAGATAAAGCAATCACTAAGCACAGTACATATTGTTATGTAACACATATTCACATACATCATAATGACAATCTCAAATGCAACATGATTTATAAACCCAGGTCTAACCCAGTCTAATTGTATTTAATAGTTTGGACCAGCAAGAGATATTTTCAGTTTTTGCTCCATTAATTTTGGCGGCAGAGAGCTCCAACTGCATTATATCTCTATAGGACAGGAGCCTAAGTTAACTGACATTATGACTTAACCTCTAAGTATAATGAATATAGACAGTAATCAGGATAGATATAGACACAATTCATTCTATAGAGGGCAGAAGACTTGATGCATCAACAATCTGATAAACACTGATACATAAGTATTTTAATCCTACATTATGCACTATGGTCTAGGTCTCTGACCACATAATTAAAACACATATAATAACACTACATCAACTGAAGGATGGCATTGAATCACTGTACACTGCCTGGGTTCCGATCCCTCAATATGTCAGCAGCTTCAGCAGAGACTCATTTTCTAATGGACTCCAGCACCGCCCTGCCAAAATGCATGCTGGGAATGAATGGACTTCATCCATTACACAGAATGAGCCACAGTGAGTTGTGGCCACTCGGCATAAATGAGCAGGAGCAGGAGGTAGGTGAATGAGAAGATAGATGGCATATGAAGTAACAAAGTAAAAGTAATGCAAAGTCACTTTATTAATTCACTCAGTCCTGTCTGTTTCAGCCACCATGACTTGGTTGGATTTCAATCACTTTAAAGTGTTAGAAACTTTTAGATCACCTCAGGCGCATTGGGTTGTGTTTGACCTGCTGGGGTTCCTAACTTTTTTAAATCATAATTGATCCATGTTGTTTGTGCAAACACAAAGAGTCTTGTAAAAGTAAAATTTTGCGAACAAATCAGACTACAATGGGCTGGCTTCATCTTATTATTAGAACACATAGATTTAATGGACATGACACTACTGAGAATCTAGGCATAGACCTCAAAGAATGGCCACAGTTGAGGGGCTGAGGTGAGTACAGGTTTTACACCTGTTGTACTACAAATGGTGGAAAGTAATTAGAAATTAGAGATGAGTGTAGTTGCACATTTGTATGAAGTATCAGACTTTCCAGTAAATACAGGGAATAAAACAGGTGTGAAGAGGCGGCTCCTGTTTAGACTTGAGCTTTGGGAGCATTGAGACATCTGGCAGCCAGCAGACCACTAACCACACACTGCTCTTTCACTGTTTGTGCTGGAGAAACAGCTGAAGGCAAAACTCTGTTAAAGTGAATGGGCTGTCTCCACACTGTATACTCTGTGGTCAGCTGTAAAACCTTTATGAAGGATGGGGTTTTCTTTTGAGAGGTACTGACCCACAATATGGACATTATCTCTGTTATCTCTTATTTCTGAAAAAGTGGTGACTAATCGATGTAAGTCATGTACGTGACTATTTGTGACATCCATCCATCCATCCATTTTCTTCCCCTTAATCCATTTCTGGGTCGGGTGGGTGGCAGTCAGAGCTGCACCCAGTACACATAGCACCAGCCCCTCACTGATCCTCCTGCAGGTGGTGAGTCCCCAGGAGCTGAGAGCTTTCAGTGGGGGCTTCAGGCAAAGTGGAGTTGGTTAAGTGTCTTGCCCAAGGACACAACGACAGCAGACATGTCATGTGACATGTCATGGTAAAACCATAGGTTGACAGCAGCCTTTTGAGTTATTCACAGAAAAGTATTGATTCTGGACACAAAAGTGAGGTTTGGTCCGAATAAATATAGGCTCAGAATCCTGATATATAAGCTATACTTTTACAGTATATTCACACACTGTATCCCTTTGAATAGAATATTTTTTGCCCAAGAGCACATTAGTAACAGTTTACAATTATAGTGGGAGTAACCTTGAGAGTAGCGTCTCATTTTAGTATAGATTTATGTAAGACCATTATAGCACACTTGATATTGTTCCAAGCCCAAGGACGCTACATACGAAATGCTTGTCTGGCCAGTTCAGTTTTCATTCTGTTAAACAGGAGCTGCTGAGAGGAGAGGGCGTTGTACCCACTGATTGCAGGTGTTACATGGCAAAAATAACTGAACAGCATAAAAATAAAACATTTAATAATCCAAAATCCAAAGTAGATAACAAACATGACAAAGTAACCAAAAACAGGGACAAGAGCTGATAGAGACATGGCAAAGACAATGACAGAACAGGAAGTGAAGGAGCACAGGGTTTAAATGTGCTCACAACTAACGAGACACAGGTGAGAGGGCGGGGCAGGTCATCACACAACAGGAAGTAGAACTAAGACACAGGGCTAACAAATTACAAAATAAAACAGTTAAAAAAAACCTAAACCATGACAGTACCCCCTCCTCAAGGGACGGATCCCAGACGTCCAACAACAAAACCAGAGAGGGAGCGGGGCCGGAGCTGGGAAAAATGGAAGCCGGAGCAGGAGCTGGAGAAAGAGCTGGAGCAGGAGCTGGAACCGGGACTGGAGCGAAACAGGTACGAAAACGGGAAGACCCCCCTGGATGGATAACAATATTCAGCGGAGCCAAGTAAGGGACAGAAGAGTGCAACCACCCAGGACGAAGCAAAGTGTCCTGCAGTGGCTCAAGACAAAGACAAGGAGGGATGTGTCCATCTCCTGCAGCGACTATGAAGACAGTTGTGTACAAAGGCAAGAGACGACAAAGTAATCAAAACAGGGACGACATGGCATTGACAATGACAGAACAGAGATTGAAGGAACTAACAGGGTTTAAATACACTAACAACTGCTGAGACACAGGTGAGACACAAGAGGGTGGGGCAGGTCATCACACATCAGGAAGTAGAACTGAGACACAGGGTTAACAAGTTACAAAATAAAACAGGAAAATACAACTAAAACATGACAGCAGGGGCTTGGAGCTGACACCGGCCAGACAAGCCAGTGATGCTGTCTCCTGAGGCTCAGTGAAAGCAGAGAGTACAGATCATGGAAATGAGTCCTGGAGGCAGACTTTAGAAGGTACAGTGCCTTGCGAAAGTATTGAACCTTTCAACATTTCGCCACATTTCAGGCTTCAAACATAAAGCTATAAAATTTTAATTTTTTGTCAAGAATCAACAACAAATGGGACACAATCGTGAAGTGGAACGAAATGTATTGGATAATTTAAACTTTTTTAACAAATACAAATCTGAAAAGTGGGGCGTGCAATATTATTCGGCCCCCTTGCGCTAATACTTTGTACCGCCACCTTTTGCTGCAATTACAGCTGCAAGTCGCTTGGGGTATGTCTCTATCAGTTTTGCACATCGAGAGACTGGAATTCTTGTCCATTCTTCCTTGCAAAACAGCTCGAGCTCAGTGAGGTTGGATGGAGAGCGTTTGTAAACAGCAGTCTTCAGCTCTTTCCACAGATTCTCGATTGGATTCAGGTCTGGACTTTGACTTGGCCATTCTAACACCTGGATACGTCTATTTGTGAACCATTCCATTGTAGATTTGGCTTTATGTTTTGGATCATTGTCCTGTTGGAAGATAAATCTCCGTCCCAGTCTCAGGTCTTTTGCAGACTCCAACAAGTTTTCTTCCAGAATGATCCTGTATTTGGCTCCATCCATCTTCCCATCAATTTTAGCCATCTTCCCTGTCCAGATTTGTGCAGTGCACGACTGATTGTTGTCCTATGGACAGACTGTCCCACATCAGCTGTAGTTATCTGCAGTTCATCCAGAGTGATCATGGACCTCTTGGCTGCATCTCTGATCAGTCTTCTCCTTGTTTGAGATGAAAGTTTGGAGGGACGGCCGGGTCTTGGTAGATTTGCAGTGGTCTGATACTCCTTCCATTTCAATATAATTGCTTGCACAGTGCTCCTTGAGATGTTTAAAGCTTAGGAAATCTTTTTGTATCCAAATCCGGCTTTAAACTTCTCCACAACAGTATCTCGGACCTGCCTGGTGTGTTCCTTTGTCTTCATGGTTCTCTCTGCGCTTTAAACAGAACCTTGAGACTATCAAAGAGCAGGTGCATTTATACGGAGACTTGATTACACACAGGTGCATTCTATTTATCATCATCAGTCATTTAGGACAACATTGGATCATTCAAAGATCCTCACTGAACTTCTGGAGTGAGTTTGCTGCACTGAAAGTAAAGGGGCCGAATAATATTGCACGCCCCACTTTTCAGTTTTTTATTTGTTAAAAAAGTTTAAATTATCCATTAAATTTTGTTCCACTGCACGATTGTGCCCCACTTGTTGTTGATTCATGACAAATAATTAAAATGTTATATCTTTATGTTTGAAGCCTGAAATGTGGCGAAATGTTGAAAGGTACAAGGGGGCCGAATACTTTCGCAAGGCACTGTAGAGCAATGTAATAGAATGAAGCATCAGTTTTATGTAGCACCTTTTTGGACACTCAAAAGATGCTTCACTCCATAGACCATAGACGGTGGTGATATACTACGACTGTAGCCACAGCTGCCCTGGGGCACACTGACAGAAGCGAGGCAACCAGTACGTGCCATCTGCAATGGGGGTGAAGTGTCTTGCCTTCACAAGGGCAGTTTGGCACTTTACAGCTGTTCTGTTCACAAGTTCCAGAACAGTAAGTTCTGTAACTAATCATAAAACACTGAAGTTTCCCAACTGCCATGCACACATGGCTCTTTTAAATGCCTATGTTTTTGTGCATTTGTTTGTAAGAAAAAAATGTGAGCTGTCAGAAAATGGTCCCAATGTCAGTTGGTCACACTCTGTTGGCCACATTATATTTTCACTGGCATTTCTTCTTCAGGTGCATCTTACATAGCTCCATGGCTGAAGTACACTATGCAAAAGGTTAGCAATGGGGCGGCACAGTGACTGAGTGGATGGATAGTTCAGGGTGAATGTGAATTTGGGACAACGGATGGAAATTAGTCCATGGCTACAATCTGGAGAGATGTGTTCTTTAACATGTACTGTCCCAACCAAATAAACAATAAACAACAATGAGGGTTATATACAAATGTGATATTGGCCATGGGAACTTTGATCAATGGTCACATTAGTGCAGCAGGAAGGGAAGCATTTTTCATAACAACAAAACAAACACAAGAAGGTGAATGGCACAGTACTAGCTAGACTATTGACCTCTACATCAACCTTACAAGCTTAGATTTGAAATAACATATTCCTCTCAAATATACACAATTGACTGTTGACTTGCAACTGAACTTACCAATCAAAGCGCTCTGGTGCAATCAATCTTGACAATAAATGTGCTTCCCATCTCTATGAGTACTCGATGGAGTCAAAATAATATTAAAAGGTTAATACAAACAACATTTAAAATGCTAGGGGACGCTCTCATAAAATACAAATACATACAGTACATTTAGATATTGGCAGCTGGATTCAAGTAACTTTAAATAAGTAGCGGCTTATAGCTTATAGTATAGAATGTACTGAAATCAGATCTGTTTCTGTTCTGTAACAATGCTCACTACCTTTCTTGATTGATATTGTCATCAAAAGCACTGGCAGAATGTTGAATAAGATGTTATAATCATCCGTGCAATCCAAGGAACGGCTGCAGCTGTGGATTCATCTGGAAATGTATTCATAACCACAAACCACTCCTCACTGCGAGAACTGAGCACTTTTTTCACAAATTTTAGCTGGACCAAACCCGAATAAGAGACAAGTGCTTATAGTATACTGCCTGACCAAAAAAATAAGCCGGCTACATAAACTACAAGAACTGGCAGCCATGCATTTTACCCAAATCTACTTTGCCACTTGTGTTTACTTCAGCTGTTTGTTCTGATGCATAACATTGAGAAATCCCAGGTTCTTGTGGATAATCAAACCTGTTATTTTATAGGCTGAGACTATACAGATGAAATTATAGCGTGGAGAAAAGAAATGTTCATTGTCTTAAACACATTTTCAGCCTAAGTAAGTTCATGAATCTTGCTTTTGTTTACTGTTCATTTTTTAATCTGTTGTTTTAATGTTGTTATTTTCCTGTTTTGTTCATTTGGCAACAACTTTCTTATTCACATCAAATGTAATTTATTTTCAGCATTAGGAAACAGCAAGTGAGGAGATTTTTTTTTTTCATAAAGGACATTTAACTAAAAAAAATGTCCCTGATGTTGTGGTCAAATCTGAGCTTCATCTTAGCGAGAAAGAAGCGAATCAAAAAATGTATAATGGTAAAAAAAATACTGGCATGTAAAAACTAGCTTTGGTGCTATTTAACTATTTGCTAAATTGTTTCTTGTTTAATTTGGAATGTTTTTAAAGTTAGAGACCAATTATGAGTGTATAGGCTCGTGGTGGCAAATTCTATTCACACAAAAGACTGTAAATGTCCACACACAGACCAGTAGTTTGAGATGTAATACACAGATGTAATACACTGTAATACAGTGTATTGAATAATTGTAGGAACCAAAAGTGTCCAACAGAGGGCGACAGAAGGCAGGCCCCATCAGCGCGTCTTCAGCGCCTCTTCAGCGCCTCCAGCACCTTCGCCACTTGTGGGATCAGCGTTTCAGATCGCATGCAAATCAGGGAAGAGGAGAGAGAGCCCGTGGAAAAGCGAGGGAGAGAGCGGCACATTCACGGAGACACAGCTCCCCAGGCCTCCCTCTTCCTTCCGGGTGTCTGCTCTCTTCCTTCTCCACTTCCAGCCGGCGGAGGCGCACACGCTCGGACCAGCACACCGGGACACAGATGCTGGATCCCGGCTGCAGTGTGAACGCGCTCTTTCCTCGCCCTTAGCTAAGTTCATTCGAATACAGGGACTTTGCGACAGATAGTTTGTGCTGTGGGAAACTCTTTGGAGCGTGAACAGATAGTGCGCGGAGTGAAACTTTTTCTCCTTTCTCCAGCCATGGGATCCCAGCGGACAGTGGCACTGCTCGTGGCCGGAGTGCTGTTCGCTCTCTGCGGACACTGCAGAGCCAGTTGTCCCGAGAGGAACCTGGAGGACCGGGAGGATGAGGCCAACATCGTTTTGACAGGGACCGTGGACGAGATAATCAACGTGGACCCGGTACACAACACGTACTCATGCAAGGTAAGAGTGAAGCAGCCTCCAAAAGTCCAAACTACAGTGAACATGAGAAGAGGAGGCACCTGCCTCCACAGGCAATGTGCTCTATACACTGTGCACTCATACACAACACATACTATAACTGTATGCAAACGAGCCTGTGGATGTATCCATCATATCAGCTTTAATTAGTAATGCCAACATCATTAGGGGCAATATATTACATTAGGCACAGTTGGACACATGAAATGTATTTCATTTATGACATTTCAACACTATTCCTATAAAGTCCTCACTGGGGGACAACCAGCGTTTTCTTATCTTATCTTGTTTGGCATTCAAAGTATGCCAAACAAGATAAGATAATAAAAGCGCAATCACTGAAATTTGATTATTGTAGCATAATAGTTACACATTGTAATTAAATGAACATTTGATAATAATAATTATATTGTTTTGATTATAGCAACATTATAGCAATTTAAAATTGCAATAATTTTGGATATAGCTTACAGTAACTTAATTAAAACTGAAACCCGAGTCTTTTTCTCCACTTATGGTTAGTTACACATCTATTACATGGGCTCTAGCAAGCATGTAGTCATCCCCAACATGTTGCTGCAGGAAAGTGGCCTCTGAGTGGCCCTTGGCTGCGGTTCTTTTGTATGATTAAAATCTCTGGCCCCGTCTTCTACTCCCCAGTGTGACACAGTGCTCGCAAGGTGGATTGCTGATAGCTATACCTATGGTTGGATGCACACTGAATAATTATGTTGTAACAGTGCAATAGTGTTACATTGCATTGTCATTTAACTTGTGCCTTGCTGCCACAACATTCTTCCACAGATTTGAACTCCTGAGTCATAGTAGCTGTAGTGAAACACAATCCCATATGCCTGGAGGAAGCCGCCTGCTCTTGTCCCTGTTCCTGGCCCAGTTATTGTAAAAGTCCTTTAGCACTACGCCGCTCTCTTGTGGTGCACCGCTCTATGATCTGTCAAAATAAACAAGCCGTGTTTGGTCAGTGAGCTTTTCCTGAGAGGTAGCGCACAGTGGTTTTCCGCCAGCAGCCGAATGAATGGAGCAGATTAGAGGTGTGCTGCTCCAGAGCTGCGGCAGACATGAGAGGGAAGTGCAGAGGAAGGCCAGACTTATCATGACTTGACAGAACACACACACACACACACACACACACACACACACACACACACACACTGCTCAATATGCTGAAGTCTGTGTTATAGGACTCATTGTGGCCGTCTAGTTTGTGTTGGATAATACTATGTGCAAGATATCCTTCTATTGATCGATCACTTGCACTTGTTTTTTTTATGGTTACGTTTTCTTAGTGTTTTATAACTCTATTACTAAATCTATAACAACTTATTTTAGTGGCTGCTGTGTACTTTTATGGTTTTCTTATTGAAATGTTTTCAGATGTAGGCTCAACATGCATTTTTTTTCATCTTATATTCTTGTGTTATATGAACCCCTTGGCATCAAAATAGCAGTTCCTGAATCCATGCATTTTCTGCACAGTGACCTGGCTCCCCACATCGTTTCCCTACATATTTATTTTTTCTTGTATTTTATTGATTTTAGTACTCCACAATCCCATATAAAGTTTCAGGGATCCACTTTTTGTCTGTTTCACATGAACATTTCTGAAGATAAAAAATGCTGGCATCAAAAGAACTATATTAACATTCACAAATGCGCACAATAAGATAGAACAAACAAATCTATTTAATGCCTTTGGAAATTCAGAATAGCATGTTTTGTATTGCATTATATTGTCTACTATAATGCTATCTTCTTGGCAGCATCACAAAAATGTTAGAAGCTGTGCTATCTTTGCTGTGTGTTTCCTGCAGGTCAGAGTGTGGCGTTATCTGAAAGGCAAAACCAGCGTGGGCCGTGAAATCCTGTTGGACGGAGGCAACAAGGTGATGATCGGCGGCTTTGGTAACCCCGGCATCTGTGACAACCAGGTGTCCACTGGAGACACGCGCATCTTCTTCCTGAACCCGGCCCCGGAGTACATGGGCCCCGAGCACAAGACCGAACTCATGCTCAACTCCAGCCTGATGAGGATTACGCTGCGCAACCTGGAGGACGTGGAGCACTGCGTGGAAGGTAGGACCCTGCTGAAGGAGAGAATACTTTATTTTATTGCTGTGGGCACACTTCTGCTGTTAACTTGGAGTGTGTGATGTAGAAGGAGCATGCAGTTCATAGAAAAGATGTCACTACAACTATTGAATATTGCAGTTTAAAGACTAATACGTAAATGTATTGTCACGTTTTTTGTTTTAAAGAATAATTCTTTGAATGCATAGAATTACTTGGAAAGTTCCATCCTTTTCCTATTACACGAGTAGTCATTGGATATGACATAAAGTACGTACTTCTGTCAGGAGGTGGTCACCGGCATGATTCCATTAGATAAATCCATACGTCAGAATATTGTTGATCTCAGTTGTTAGCATTTATGTTACACTCAATAGTGAGTTAATTGTCACAGTGTTATTTCAATGATCAATTGTAGGTATACGGAGTCCAGTATTGGCTAAATGTCTATACATGTATATCTATACCACATTTCCCTCTAGTATTGCAAGTACTTATCTGATTCCAATCACTCTTATGCCATGCTTTCTGCACAACATGATTAGAATTGTATTTAATTTATTTTCTAAATTATTTTTTTACCCTGAATTACTGATATCAATATTGGCATGTCAACTAGATTTTTGATAGAATTCTAGAAAATGTTACTTAAACAAAACATTCCTTCTTATTTGCGTGTGCAATGATTATTCATATTTTTGGCATTTTCTATGTTCATTTGGTTGTCACTCTCTGTTATGCTCTGCCTTGAAGTAGTGCTGTATTATACCAAAGATGTGCAGTTTTGTGAATGGTGTCGCCCTGAGCAGTGAGGTCCGCTCTTCCCTGTCTGTCCCTGTTGTGGGTGTGTCTGGAAAACACCTCCAGGACGTAGCTTTAGTGCTGCTCTGTGACCCTTACTCCCTGTGGATGGACAGTTTAATAACCCAGGTAGTCAGCCGTTTGAGGGACCGGTTCCCACACTTTTACACAAAACTATGGGGACATAATATGTGATACTTTGAAAGAAGATTAAAGGAGGGGTTTATCACCAGTAAATGTTTTATTTTTTATTTTACTGGTCATAGCATATTAAATACCAGTCATTGTATTCAGTTTGAACATAACATATCAGCCAAACAACTCCTCATATAATTCTAGAATAATGAGTCCGAGGCACGTCTGCTTCTTTATAGATTGATTTCCTCTAACAAAGACCAGACACGCTGCACACCTCCGACTTCTCATTCAAAAACTGTAATTCTTTTCCATTGAAGAGAACGTAACTCCAGAACTCTATAAGATCCACTGTGCACTCCTCGCCTCTTTCTCTTTCAATATGTCTCCATTACTACAACATTATGTTAACAATATAATAGAAAGGTATATTCCCCAAATATTTAAGTGAGCTCTTTTTTGCATCCCTTTGATTTACGTTGCAGCTCTGGAGCACCGGAGGAGTTCATTGAATACCTATTTTCCCGCGTGCCCTTATTTGGTTGAGAAGTAATTTGTCAAGCTCTTATGAGATGACCCATAGAACCCTGACTAATAAATCCAACCACCATGACTGCAAGACTGTAGCCCCTCCAGTGTTGAACTCTTTCTGCCACTTGACTATGTTGGCAGCAAGTCAAACTCCAAAGCATTACCGGCAAATGATTCGCTGCACGAAATCACCTTGTCGAGAGCTTTTTGAGCTTGGATTTGGAATTCTGGATTCTGCATTCCGGGCGCTTTCCTCTCAATGATTCTGGGTGGCGGGATGTTCCAAGGGACTGGGCTTGTTTGCAGTGTTAAGTTGCATTTGGCACACACATAAAACTTCTTCTGTTTGTCTGTCAAGGCACGAAACAGTGCACTGCTAACCTTTTCATTGAGCCCGTCCTTTCTTGTCCCGGTCTCCTGTTGTGGAGAGCGGAGTTCCTTGGCGAAGATAAATGCTGGTGAATGCTGGACTTTCTGTGGCAGGCTTTGTGTTTTTTTTCCACACAAACCTAGTTTTTGCATATTTTCTTACAGTGGAACACATGATGGAAGCAGTGGAATTTGAGGAATCAGCAACAATAGTTGTGTTTGATATAAACTTGATATTAACCCTTTAGGTAAGTTGCAGAGCGTGAATCAAGGGCTCTTTCTAGCGATGAGGCTCTCCACAAACGTTTCCCTAAAAATACAATTTTCTTACATATTGTTTTATGTTTATTTTTCTGTTATATAGTTTAGCAGTCCCCTTTCACTTATTACAATTTTAGGGTTCCACTTTTTGTCTTTTTCACATCACATTTCTAAAAGGAAAAGGAAAAAAAATATTGTATATTTCTGACAATTTTACATTGTATCTTTACGTACAGTAAGCAATTTTACTGTAACAATCATTTGATTCAAAATGATTCCTCTCATTTGCATAGCTAGGACCAGTACGGGTTTTTTTGAAGAAAATTCAAACCAATGACAAGGAGCCTCAAGGCTTGGAATTAATTTCGACCCATCAGGAAACTGCATTGATGAGTCTAACCAGTGCCTGCCCTCAAAAGGTTTTGCTCTCTCTTCCCAATTTGGCGGCACGGTGGCTGAGTGGATAGCACTCTCGCCTCTCAGCAAGAAGGTCCTGGGTTCGAATCCCGGTTGGACCAGGGCCTTTCTGAGTGGAGTTTGCATGTTCTCTCCGTGTCTGCGTAGGTTTCCTCCGGGTACTCCGGTTTCCCCTACCACTAAAAACATGCACAATAGGTCTGGCATGTGCCTCCTGTACTGGCGACCCCGCTCCCATCTCTGTGTGGAGTGAGAGGACCAATGCCCAAAAATAATAACAATTGTAAACCGCTTTGTGACTCTGGTCTGTGAAAGGCGGTATATAAATAAAGATTACTTACTTACTTACTACAATTTGAAAAATAACTGACACTTAAAGGGTTATCAATACCAAACATCACAAAATACTATAGTGGGGCTGCTGCAAACACAATTCAAACAAAAAAAAAAAATGTACAAAGTAATAGAATCATGGCAATGTCAACGTTTTCTTTGCACTGTCATTACTTGAACTTTATGTTTCACAAGTCTTTGCTCTTTCTAGTTTAACTTCTGCATGGTTTGATGAAAAAGCTTCTTTTAATTAAGCACTTTCTATCGGTGTATCCTGGGAAGAGGAGGCTATGTAACTTCCATCTTATAGTTACATAGCCTCACCATTTTAATTAAGCAAGTCAAGTCCAATCGCATCCTCTCCTCTCAGAAGGCACTGGGACAAGACTGTACCTGCCGCTCGCTCAGTACCCTCCTCTGCTCGCCCCTCATTCCTGACATTTTCGATAGCTAGGATAGACTCTGGAATGCCTGGCAGAGAAGTGGGGAGGTGGGGAGGTGCATTGTCTCTGATGGAATAAAAAAGGCTTTGTGTGATGTTTTCGTAACCACAAATTTACAAGAAATAAGACATTGATGATTCAGAGTGTCAGTGCGGTGGATTAGTAGCCCAAGGATAACATTACTGCCTACTGACTCATACAGTAGGATTGCATGATTCTTTACTTAGTCATTTGGCAGGACTTTCTGGCTTTGACCAGTGCTAGTGGTAGTACTAGTAAATACTGAAAGTTTGTGATTAAGGGATGCAGCAAGTGTGAGTATTTTTCACATAAAGAAATATGCTAAAATGTTGAAGTTGTTTTGGCATGCTGGGACAATTTCAATTCATTCCAAGGGTGTATTAGGCAGAAGCAAAAGTCTAGTGTCTGATTTATGTAAAGTGCACTTTTTTGTGACAACCTGTCCAAGCAGTCATTGGCTCTGTTGCAAAAGCGTTTCCCATCTATCTCAGTTAAGAGCCCTCTCCAGCATGTCGGCCTTAAGTGCTCTCAGAAAATCCTCAAACTGCTATCAATAGCTCAGAGATTTTAGGCTCTGACCAATTCAAACTTCAGCAATTGCTTAAAGTTGCTTCTAAAAATGTTGAAGATGATGCAGAACACTCACGTTGGTTGAAAAGAGCAGTACGGCAGAGTGGTGCTGTAGAAGTGCTCAGACTCTGTCACGTCATGTGCTCATTGTGAGCAGGTTGTAAATGTACATTTCACAACTCTAAAGAGCGTCTTAAATGAGCAAGTTAAAGCTCTGTGTCATATTCTGCGTCTTTGTCCTTATCTTCTGAATCAATAAAAACATGCAAGGCACATTTAGCACAATTCAAACACAAGGCAACTCAAATTGCTGGACAAAACAAGATAGTCACACTAGGCATTTAATTCATAAATTATCACAGTACATTAAAAAGAGAAGAGTAAAGATAAAATCTCTCAGTTGCATGCACAGCTAAACAGAATTGTTATTAACCTGGATTAAAACATAGAGTAGAAGAGTAGAAGCCTGCCTCACATCTTCAGGAAGACTGTTCCAGATTTTAGCAGCATGCATCTGAATACTGCCCCCCCATGTTTAGTCCTGACTCCCGGCACCAGCAGAAGTCCAGTCCCAGCAGGGTCACACTTTGCTAGCATTAAGTGTATGTCCATATCTGATCTTTTCTTCAGTTTTCAGCGCCTCTTGACATGGCCTTGCTATTCCTTGCCATTCATTTGAATCATACATAATTCAACTCTATGGCATAAAATCCTTTTATGTGAGGGCGAGTGTGCAGACGCTTTTCTCCAGATAACTGGTTGTCTCCAAAAGACATCGGGTCCTCCACATTGTGACCTAAAAAAAAGAGGGCCGAAACGAGCCCCAATCAGGTCGACAGGATTTACAGATTAATCATTCACAAATGCGAACTCAGAGTTAAACATGAAGGTAGCCGTGTGAAACGCTTTCCTCCCTAAACAGATTAAGATGTTTACATAACTGAATGCCCAAGTTTACTATGCAAGGTTAGGCCCAAGAAACACAGAAAAGGGACTCTGACATCTCAGCCAGACTGTCTTGATTAAATAAGGGACAAGAAGAACATTTGTGTTATGGGAAGGGGTAAGGATATCTTTGGTATTCAATTGTTGGCTTCTGGTTGAAAGCTATATGTTTACAATCCATCTTAAATCACTAAAGAATAAAGCATACATTCCTATCAAGACTTTCAAGACACACTGCTCAGAATAGTTACTGTATATTATATTATATTTAACAGCCTGGCATGACATAAATATACCATTTTCGTTTTTTCTATTTCTATAAAACAGAAAGCTATATTATTCTTTCTCACAGTTTAAACATACAAGCCACCTGACCATACCCATAACAAATGACTCTTTTCACCCAAGACTTAATTATTATTTCTCATAAACAACTTTTTTGGCTCAAACCCTTAAGCATTTATAACCAACATATTTTGCGTTCTAAAGTTACAGCTCCATTGCACCGCTTTTATGAGCCTGCCTTGGAATACATTTGAGGCAGTATTAAATTTTCATCAAGAATTGCTCATGAAAGTATTGAAAGACAAGAGTATATGTTGGATGTGGAATTGGGTCATTGGCCGGTGTCGGCTCTACAGCAGTGCACCTGGTTGTTAGAACTATGACAGCTTTACAGGACATGGGATTCCAGTGTAATTACAGGTGGAGAGGCCTGAGATGAGAGCTCTGGGAAGGGGACTGTGAGAACGGCTGGAGCAGAGCACAGTGCTGAAATACAGTGGTGAGAGCTGAAGCAGGTTGGCTTTTCCAGTTCTGTTTAGGATTCATCTCTCTGGTTGAAACATACAGTCATCATTAACTATGCAAAAAATGGGTAATGGAAACAAGGACATTGAGGTGATAACTGACTGATTGCAATAGTTTTGGAGCCTAATTCCATTGTTATTATTGGTCATGTATTGATTTACAAAGACCAGATTAAAACATCTGGAACACGAGCCAAAACCAGAACTGGTGAGTCCCATGGACAAACAGGAGCTGAACAAACTGTGTTGTTGTTTTTGTATTTGTTTACTTAACAGAACTTTACTTTTGAAACACAAGTTATAGGCTCGGTTCAGTTAAAGTGAACCAGCAGGTGTGCACGCATCATTAAACACATGCTTTCTGCCCATGGCTAACTCGCTATCACAATTTGACATTGATGTTACAATTTTTGGAAATGCCCTGGTCTGTCGTGTGGGCATGATCCTATAGAAATAAAAAACACATGCTTATCAGCTACAGTATAAATGTTTAAAACATGTAAAAAAAGAAACAATGATCATAACTCTGCTTTGCAATAATAAAATGCATCCTTGCCATAATAGTGGAGATTTCCCGAAAATCCAAACTGTGGTCAGTTTGTTATAAATGAGCCATGCAAAATGAAAACAGCTATTTTCCAACAGTACTACACATTCCCCTGGGGGTTTAGGATGGATGTAATAAAATAATCATTTGAATTATTGGTCAGTAGGGGCCATCTGTGTATTCTCCTTGGAATAAGAGAGTGTGACGCATGGAGATGGACAGACTTTGACAGAGTGAGAACCTTGTATAAGAAAGTCTCATGGGACAGAGACTGAGAGGCTGGGTCTTCATGCTCACTGCACCATGACAACCCGTGGACAGAAAGGAAGCCTTGCAGAAGGGGTTGAGGTTTCCTTGTATTTCTGGGGATTTTCTTGTCAATGTGGGACCCCAACAGACTCAAAGTTCCTTGCTCAGTGAATATGCATAAAGATAAGTTGAAAAAATCAAATGAACGTCCCTTAAACTTTAGCAAAAAATGTATATCATTAATTGCAGCCCAGTTTAGGCTTTGAAAATGTACAGTACAAAATCAACTATCATTTATAACTGTTCTGTTGTGTTTTATGTATTATCCCCAAAACAGTTTCAGATGATAAGGGCGCCTTGAATTGATTTCCCTTTCACCTCCTTAAAACCTTATGTTTGATCTCACAATAATGTGTGCTGCCACACTCTTTCCCCTGTGATTGGATGGTCAAATCCTTCTAGATGACAGATCCACTGACCTACATCTAGACCACATAAGGAGCTACCCCCCACGTCCATCCAGACTCCAGCTCTCTAAACCTTTAGTTAGGACTAACACATCCTCTGATCTAGAAATGTGTAGCCTGTGTGTCGGAATCTTGTCACTCTTCCAACTTCTCCAGTTGTGTGATTGAAACAGACTTTCCGGGTCACAAATATTTCACATGGAAACACATCAACATACAATAACAGCTATCAGTTGCATAATGTGCAACCGTTAATAATTAAAAGTGACTGACACCTTCCTCTCAGGTGTCCAGATCTTTGTGATGTGCACTAAATAGTAAATACTAATCCCATGAGACATTCTCTCCCAAAAAGGGCCATTTTATAATGAATCTTTTAGTGGCCCAGGCCACTTGACAAACACAGCGCTCTCAAAAAGACCTCATGGAGAGCAGTGCAGATGGAACCTGTTAAAGTCATTACACAGATGTAGCGGCTGTAAATGCAATGTAAGCAACACTTCAAGTCTCTCTGCGACCTCAGGGCTGCACAAGCTCATGTTATACTAAACATCAATTCAATATTTCACATTTTTTGGCCACAAGGTATAGATATCAAAAGAAATCTCACATTCAAAATTCTTTAAGTGCACTTTATAACATTAAATTATTCATGGAGAAACTTCAGAGTGACAGATCTGCCTTTTTCTCACGCGTGTGAAGTATTGTTTGTCAGATTGCCGATTGACACATGAAATAGATATCCATCTAAATTATGTATATAAATGCACCACTACAGCCTTTTTCTGCTCTTTATTCACCACCACGATGCCTGTTGGTTTGCCATTATCAGGTCTGTATCTGGAAGTGCCACAAAAGTAAACTTTAAGGTCTAAATGGGAAACATTCTCCATCACCTTTGGAGTTTTACTTAAAGAATGAAATGTAAAGCCTGGTTCACACGAGACAATTTTAAAATTGTTGGCCAATTTTCCTAACCTGAGAGACCCCATACACGGAGATAAATGGGTCGTACAGTGTGTGGTGCACAGCCACACGTCAAAATAATGCAAACCACACACATCACACACGAACCGATTTCACCCCGAAGCATTCCCAGGTCAGACGGAAATCTCGCAAAATCTCTCGAGATCAAGCGTGACTTCAGAGTAAACAATCATGGCGGACAAAGAGGATGTAGTGGCAATAGTTTATTTTTAACAGAGAAAAAGTGTTATCTAAAGAAATAGGTCAACTAGTTGGTCCTCCATCTGCGATATCAACCGGACATTCTGGTGCGCCATGCCACTGACTGTTATGATTTTTTTCCGGGGATTCCTCGCCGCCTCGTCACCTCGTCTTCTGATTGGCTCGTCTGTCCCCGGAGGACACCACACACGAAAAGAAA